TTTTTGTTATTATTACACAATTCAGCGTGTGAAATCAAAAGTTACTTATTTGGTGAAAAAGATGTTTGATCGATAAACCCGATAAGACGAAAAAAATGTTACCAAACGGGCTCTAAGTATATATACATTTTTTGTTCCTTACCATCGTAATGTCATTGCCACATGCATAAAAAAGCTTAAATAATTTAATACTATCTCCGTGCCCCTAATATTGGGACGGAAGAGAGTGGTATGGTTTTTAAGGAAAATAGAATTATGTGGTTGATAATTAGTTAATCAAGTGAGAATTAAGTAAGAATGAATTAGAGCTACACAAATGTTACCAAATATTAAATGAGACAATTATAGAGAGACAGAGGGAGTAATAATAGAAACAATGACAAAAATAGGCAGTGGCGGATCCAGAAAACCAAAGTATTGGGGGCAGAGCAAAGAAAAAAACAACTATATTAAGAAAAAAATGCTAAATGCACTTTAATAAATATACTTGAATAGTAATTTTTTAATAAAGTACACGAGAATTTCTAAGCTAAATAAAGTATAATACAAAATAAAATAAAAAACCTAAAAAGTGAATCACAATTACTCCCTTCGAGATTTTCATCCCTTACATCAATTTTTTTTTTCGAGTTTCCTCCATTAGGATAGTATTTAGAGCCCGTTTAGCAGCACTGAAATTGCCTTAGGATGTTTTTACTTGGACTGTAATTTGCCCCAGACCAGACCAGACCAAACCAGACCAGTTCAGACCAGACCAGACCAGACCAGACTTGGATAGTTATAAAAATACAAAGAAACCAGACCTTACCAGACTAGACCAGACCAGTTCAGACCAGACCAGACCAGATCAGACCAGACCAGACCAGACCAGCAAATTACAGTCCAAGTAAAAACATCCTTAATCGACTGATTCTGCTGAAATTTATGAAGTTTTGGTTGAAGTGGCTGGATTGGCTGATTCTGCTGATTTATGAAAAAGATAATATTTAAAAGGGAAAATGGAAACTAATAATCCAACCTTTTAGCGGTCTTCTTACAATAATCCAACCTTTTGGTTATTCATGAATAATCCAACCTTTGCACCTCATCTTCATTCACTGGTCCCTGACCGGTTGATGACCTGCTATTCCAAGCTATTTTCTTATCTTTGCAAATCATTATACCATAAATCTCATCTTTCACAAAGATAATATTTTGCAAAGATAAGAAAATAACTTGGAATAGTAGGTCATTAACCGACCAGGGACCAATGAATGAAGATGAGGTGCAAAGGTTGGATTATTCATGAATAATCAAAAGGTGGGATTATTGAAAGAAGACCGCTAAAATGTTGGATTATTAGTTTCCATTTTCCCTATTTAAAATATATTGTATTAATAAAATAAATAAAGAAAGATATGATAAATAGCTAAAATGATTCGAGTAACTTCAGTCAAAACAGTCAAAAAATAACTTTAACCTTATTTTTTCTTATTATTACACAATTCAGTGCGCAAAATAAAAAATTACGTGTTTGATAAATAAGTTGGCTGATAAGCCGAAAAACAAGGTCACCAAACGGACTCTTAGACTTTTTCTTCTAATTGTGGGCCTGATAGAAGCTCAACCACTTTAATTTTCTTCAATAATTTAAATAGCATATTGAGAAGTACTATTCCACACATTTGAACTTGAACTTCCCACTGTTGATACATTAGCGATTTATACAAAAATCTGTCACTAAAATTTGATAAAAAAACATTTAAATAATTTTTTGACAACAAATATACTCTTTTGTATCTTTATATATCAAGTTAATATGAACATTCCAAAATATGTCCTACTAATTCTAACAGCTTCATAGTACACAATATAAGTAATATATGGTCAAATTATACAATAAGTCAATATAATTAATATATGGTCAAATACTCAAATTAATCACTCAAACAGATAATACGTAGTACTCCGTATTAAATAGGCTTTGGGATGAAGTATACTGAGTATTTTTTTAGGACTGACTGGACTACGGGAGTTGGGACTTGGGTCAATGACGTGCACTTGTCGTGAGGTGCACTCAAAATAAATACAATACAACACTAATATGTAGTATAGCGTAGTAGAGTTCGTATCCACAGGGAAAGGAATAACTCTCTTTTTATGTAACTAGTAAATAAAGGGGGGTTTTGATTGAGCGATTTGATTAAAATTTAAACACGAAGATGAACGAGTTATATGGGTTTTAATTCAAAGATAAAAGGGACTTGGCATTGCTACTTTCCACTTGTTGATATATTTTAGTCGATCATTGTTATATCTATAACTTATCTCCTCTCGAATACTCAATCGAGGAGTATATCCAATTCATCGAGGATAGTTATTAACAACGACCGTTCATTAATAACCCTTACTATTAGTCAAGTATAGAACAACGCCATATACCGACTTGATAGTAGCATTTAATCTTTTGATGAAATCAATTGAGATTGATAATCTCAACACAACGGTTTCGGTTTAACCAACAAAATTAATCCCTCTTATGTTTATTAACCACGACCGTGCATTAATAAACCGAAGTTACTTACTTGTGAAACTATCAACGATTAACCATCGGTTCGTTGATCGTTTCTAGTAATAATTAATATGTGAAACAAAACTAGTTGATCCTTTAAGTAATGTTCAAAATATTAATATGAAATATGAATAGGGATTAATTAATTAATACTCAAGGAAGAATATTAAAGAAGATGAATCCTACTATAATTAATATCAAGATGTTAACTAATTGTCATCTTAGTAACACTCCCCATTATTAACATAGAGGAAGGAATAGCTATTGCTAAGACCAATGTCAAGATGTTAACTAATTGTCATCTTAGTAAGACTCCCAACATTGATATAGAAATAGTATTTAAAGGAAGAATTAATATTCAAGGAAAGAAGTTAAGAAAATAACTCACAACTTTAATAATCAACAAGCTTCAAGAGCAACACCAAGAAATGGAAGTTTAGCTCCTCATTTGGAGACTAAACATACTATAAAAATATAAAAGAAATACTATTCTAAACTGAGCTTAAGAGTATGGAAGAAGGAGTGATTTTATTGTGAAGGAAAAGGGGTGTATTTATAGATGTTTGGAGGTGGCAGGGTTGTGTACCCGATCGGGTATATAGGGTACCCGATCGGGTATTTTAGGCAGTTTTCCGAAAAATCATTTTTCTAGACATACCCGGTCGGGTATGTAGGCATACCCGGTCGGGTATGAGCCAAAAAGTCAAAATCCTGCACATTCTTTTGTCTCTCCAGATTCTGATTTTGACACCCGAATCAACTCAATACCCGATCGGGTATTGCCTATACCCGACCGGGTATATGAAATATTTTTTCAATCTTCTTTTTATCTTGTCCCCTTGCACTTTCCTTGATCTTTTGGGGTCCAAACTTGATCCTTTGGATGATCTTGACCTGTTTTAAGCTCAGAATAATCCTAATCTAAACAAATTACATCTATCTAAGAAAATTAACTAATTACACCAAAAGTGTGTAATTTTCCAAACAACAACAAATAAAACTAGTTACAATAGAAATAATACATAATAAAAATACAACTCTATCAGTCAATTTAATGGGGGCATTTTAATTTTTTTAATGGGGGCAATATGTGTGCTAAATTTTTTTCTTAATATAATATATGGATCTATTGGAAGTTTATTGGGGGCAGCTTCCCCCCCCCCTATTGACAGTGTGTATCCGCCCCTGAAAATAGGAATAGGGACTTTTGACTGGACAAAAATAGGACCAATTTTTATTAAAAACAAAAACAGACATGCGTTGCCTCTCCATCACCTACGCATCAACATCTCTTCTCCGCTCTTTTGGATCTGCTCGTCGCTCCATCACTGACGCATCAACGATGCATCTCCATCGCCCATGTCTTCGCCGCCACAGTCTCCTCCTCCTCCATCTATTTCATCGCTGACTCTGTGGCTGATGGGGAACATATGACTAGGAAGGGGATTTGGACCGGTGGTGAAGGGGAAGGGTTGGGTAGGGTGGTGGGGGATGCTGGGGCTGGGGAGGGCGGTGAAGGGGGTTGGGGGCTGCTTGGAGCCGGGATGTTTTTTTTTTTCTTATTTATTATCAAAAATGAGAAAAAATAACTTAAATCTAGATTCACGTATTTTTAGAGCAAAACACTAATTCCCATTTTAGTTCTATTAGAACTGATTGCAATTCTCAATAAAGTCCAATAAGTCTATTTATTTCTTTTTATTTAGTGATTTATTTCGATTACTTTGATATTTCTTTTGTTTATTTGGATTTCTAGCTTTACTAGTTCGCTTGGTCGAATCCCCTCTTTCAAATCCTTTCCTTTTCATAAAGGGTAACAAAGATAAAACTCGAGCTTGTTTAATCGCAAGATCTATCACCCTTCAATTTGATTTAGCAAGAGCTATGTCTCCTTGCATAATCTGGAATCCAAATATTCATGATCTGAATGTGAACGAGCTAAGGGAGCGTGTTGGAGGGGAGATGGGGAGGAGGGATGGGGGTCTACAGATGGGGCTGGTGGGCGAGGGGTGGCGACAGGGTCACCATCGGGAAGTGGCGATCGTTGTCGTACGGTGGCGGCGGTCAATGCATGGTCATATTGGTCATGGTCACTTATTGGACGAGTCATGGTCACTGGTCAGACGGGTCATGGTCATTGGTCATGTAACTGGTCACATGTATTTTTGGTCATTGGTCGGATTGATTATGTCCGCTGGTCGGATTGGTCATTGTCACTGGCTGGTGGGATTGGTCATGATCATTCGTGGGGTTGGTCACTAGTTGAATTGGTCATTGTGGTTTGATAATTGTCACTAGTTGTAGTTTAGTCTCTTTTTTTGGAACTTTTTGTAATTTAAGTGATACTACGTATGTTATTTGTCCATAGCATTTATTTAAGTACTACCTCCGTCCCTTAAAACTTTGCCAAAGTTGACCGGCACAGAGAATAATAAAGTAAAGATTGTGTGGTTAAGATGTCACGCCCCGGTCCTAACCGGACACGTCAACAATCCGCCGTACAGTACGAATAGTCAACCGCAGTCCAACACATCCATACTATACAAGGCGTCTGGAATATCATTCACACATAGTACATCCATAAACAAACATAATGTAAAATATTCATTCAAAACAGCGGAAACATTTAATACAAGTGTTCGTGCCACACTTTGGCAAACATGGGCATACAAGCCCCCAAATGATTATTCAAAATGTAATATCCATGAGCATTAATTTAAATGTTTTTAAAACAGGAACGGAGGAAGCACGAACCACGTCTTCCTTCCTTGAATTCACCCGGAGCAACGGGCACTGGTAGCAAGCTCAGCTCCTACCTGAAACTGTGAGGTGGCCTCCCCCGTGAAGGGGAGGTCAGTACTTGGAAGCATTTGACAAGTACAATGACAACTATACTAAGTATAATCAATGTTTCAATTTCCAAGACCCTCAATTTAGGGTATTATTATCTCATGATTGACTTTGTTCGTTTAGTGTCATTTCATCATTTATTACCACGGTCTAGAGCCCAGCTCAATAATCACCGTTACCTACTACGGTCTAGAGCCCAGCTCAATAATCACCGTCATCTACATCGGTCTAGAGCCCAGCTCAATAATCACCGATAACTACTACGGTCTAGAGCCCAGCTCAATAATCACCGTTATCTACATCGGTCTAGAGCCCAGCTCAATAATCACCGATAACTACTACGGTCTAGAGCCCAGCTCAATAATCACCGTTATCTACATCGGTCTAGAGCCCAGCTCAATAATCACCGATAACTATCACGGTCTAGAGCCCAGCTCAATAATCACCGTTATCTACATCGGTCTAGAGCCCAGCTCAATAATCACCGATTCTTTACAATTAAATTTCTTAGGATCCATTCATCCATTATTCAACTACAATCCCAACTAATATTTCAATACTAGTTGTTTACTCATTTCAATGTAATTCTTCATTCAATATGTAGTTTGACCTTAATATCAAAATATCACTTTTATTCTTTCATGGCTTCTTCTCATGAATTAAAAAGCATACTTATCACAAATGAAATTTATGGTTGATACTACTATCATGCCATCATATTCATAACATATAAACATACACAATTTATTCAATAAATTTGTATGTTATGCAAACTATACTTATAATCAATAGTAATTTCATTTAGACATTAATAACCATTAATAATTCATGCAAATCACATTGTGTATTCATTTAGGAAATCTTATGAAATTAACCCAAAGATTATAAGCAATATAGTCGGTCATCCTCACCTTAAGTGAGCTCACGCGCGTTCTACGCTCCCCGGTTGAACTTTGACTAATTTCCGGTGAACTTTGACCAACTCCGGCGAACTTTGACCATCTCCGGCGAAAACTCCGGCGAAGCTCAAAAATACTTTAATCAAGTTCCTAACAAGGTTTTAACATCATAAAACCTAAATCAATACAAATAACCCCTAAAAGGTTATTTTCCGGTGAACCGGTCGTTTTGGCTTCTATGTCCGTTTTTGGACATAGAACCACCTCCCAACCCATTATTCCACACTCATAACATGTAGAACAATCCTAAGGGTTCTTCATATGACATATAACCCATATGATAATCAAGGAATAGAGGAAAAGTCATTATAAGGTCATTACCTTAATCCACCTAGTTTTTCCTCCCCTAAACCTTTCCTTTGGACCTCCTTGAGCTTGAGCTTGTCCTTGGCTATGGAAGATGCTATTTTTCTGGGATTTTCTCCTTCCCTTGAGGGTGTGGCCGAGTGGTGAAGAGGGAAGGGGGTGAGTATCCTCTTTTGTCTCAATAGAATGAGTGGTGTGGGGGAGAGACCCACCCTTTATTTTGTTTGATTCTTTTCCATTCACATCACACACCTCACTCATGCTCCTCCATCATCCCAGCCGACCAAGGCTTGAGAAAATGAGCCTAAATTCGTGGGTTGGCCCCCACCCATGTGGGAGGTCAACCCTTTTTGTCCCGAGGTGTACAATTTGTCCCGAAAGTTGTATTTTTCGGACAGTTATAAATATATTTTATCTCATCGAGTGAAATAAAATATATTATGTGTTTCCAATCATTATGACCCTTATAATGAATATACATTCCCCAACTTTAATTTATAAGTTCCCGAAATTCATTTCTGGCTTTCATCTGTTAAATTACCAGTACCAGTATTTTGGCCTTTTTGATCAACCGGTCAACTCTATATCATTTCTTTGGACCAAATAAATTATCCACCACTATATAAATATTACATTGATCAAGATGAATAAAATATACGGTCTCGGGAATATCGGGCGGCCCCCGCTCCCGGTGCGGGCCCCGCATGCAATTTACTATTCACGCGAATAAGAATTATAAAAATTCACAACTTCGCATACTCATTAATCATTCCATAAGGTTCAATACCTTATTCACTTAAAAGTAAATACTTTTTGGGGACGGTGTTACAAGTTCACCCCCCCTTATTGGGATTTCGTCCCCGAAATCCATGTGTCTAATCGAAAAGAAACGGGTATTGCTCCCTCATTGAGACCTCAGTCTCCCAAGTTTCTTCTTCGACTCGATCACTCCTCCAAGGAACCTTTACCATAGGAATCTCCTTGTTCCTCAGTTTCTTCACCTGTTGACCCACAATCTGTACCGGTTCCACCGCATATTGTAGATCTTCACGTATCTCCACTGGTGGCTTCTCAAGAATATGAGATGGATCTCTCACGTATTTCTTGAGCATCGATACATGAAACACGTCGTGTATCTTCTCAAGTTCCGGCGTCAACTTGAGACGGTATGCCACAGCCCCTATCCTTTCAAGGATTTCAAATGGACCAATGTATCTGGGGTTAAGCTTTCCCCTCGATATAAATCGGATGATACCCTTCCAAGGAGAAATCCTTAGGAAGACCTTATCACCGACCTCGAACTCCAGTGGCCTGCGTCGTTTGTCGGCATAACTCTTCTGCCGATCTTGGGCAGCCTTGAGTCTATCCTGAATGACTTTCACCTTAGCTTTGGTGATTTCAACAAGTTCAATCCCTTCGAGCTTGGCCTCGCCAACCTCGTCCCAACACAACGGTGTTCTGCATTTCCTCCCATACAAGGCCTCGTATGGAGGCATACCAATACTCGCCTGATAACTGTTGTTATAGGCGAACTCGACTAGGGCCAAATGTTTGTCCCAACTTCCTTGGAACTCCAGAGCACATGCCCTAAGCATGTCTTCCAATATCTGTATCACCCTTTCAGATTGTCCATCCGTCTGTGGATGAAAAGCTGTGCTAAACTTCAATTTAGTACCCAAAGATGCTTGAAACTTGGGCCAAAATCGAGATGTGAACCGTGGATCCCTATCCGAGACAATGGATATCGGGACTCCATGTAGTCTCACAATCTCTTCCGTGTATAACTTTGCCAATCTTTCAAGAGGATAAGTAATGTTGATAGGTAAAAAGTGTGCACTCTTAGTGAGCCTATCAACCACTACCCATACTGCATCGTAGTTGTTCACTGTTCGTGGTAGCCCCACCACGAAGTCCATGGTAACATGCTCCCACTTCCATTCTGGAATGGTCAGTGGCTGCAAAAGCCCCGCCGGGTGCTGATGCTCTGCCTTAACTTGTTGGCAAGTAAGGCATCGACTCACGTACTCTGCGATGTCTCTCTTCATACCCGACCACCAGTAACTTTCCTTCAAGTCTCGGTACATTTTAGTACCCCCTGGATGCATAGCATATGCCGAAGAATGAGCCTCCTCTAGTATGGACTTTTGGAGCTCCTCACTCTTTGGTATGCATACACGGTCTTTAAACAGTAAAAGACCGTCATCACGTACCCGAAAGTTCTCCACGGGCCCTTCAAGGATCCTCTCGCGGATCTTCTGGCATTCTTCATCAGTGGCCTGACATCTACTGATCTCACTCAGCAATGTAGGCCTAACCTCGAATCTAGCAATGAGGACCCCACTCGTGGACACCTCCACTTGTGCCCTCAAAGTTCGTAGACATGTGAGTAATGTCCCCGACGTACTTTTCCTGCTCAGTGCATCGGCCACTACATTGGCCTTTCCGGGATGATAGTCGATGATCAAGTCATAGTCCTTGATCAACTCCATCCATCTCCTTTGCCTCATATTCAACTCTTTCTGAGTGAATACATACTTGAGGCTCTTATGATCGGTGAAAATGTGACATGTCTCTCCATAGAGATAATGTCTCCAAATCTTTAGTGCAAACACTACCGCCCCCAACTCCAGATCATGGGTAGGGTAGTTCGCCTCGTGTTTCTTCAATTGCCTAGAAGCATAGGCAATCACCCGACCGTTCTGCATGAGTACACATCCAAGCCCTTGGATGCTAGCATCACTGTATATGTCATACCCTATCCCTTGTGTGGGTAGAGCGAGAACCGGTGCTTCTGTAAGCCGTTTCTTTAGTTCAAGAAAGCCTTTCTCACAATTGTCGTCCCATATGAACTTGGCCCCTTTCTTCGTGAGCTTTGTTAATGGAGACGCCAATACGGAAAATTTTTCAACAAATTTACGATAGTACCCCGCTAAGCCAAGGAAACTACGTATCTCTTTCACATTTTTGGGTCTCTCTCAATTCATAACAGCTTCTATCTTGGCTTTATCCACCGAAATGCCCGAACTTGACACGACATGCCCGAGAAACCCAATCTCTTTGAGCCAAAACTCGCATTTAGAGAACTTGGCAAAGAGTTGTTTTTCCCTTAGTCGTTCAAGTACAAGACTCAAATGATCTTCATGCTCCTCTTCACTCTTGGAGTATATCAAAATGTCGTCAATGAATACTATCACAAATTGATCTAAGTATTCACTGAACACACGGTTCATCATGTCCATGAATGCCGCCGGTGCGTTGGTTAGACCAAACGACATCACCAAAAACTCGTAGTGACCATATCTAGTGCGAAAAGCACTCTTGGGTATGTCGCTCTCCTTTATCTTCAGCTGATGATACCCTGACCTTAAATCAATCTTCGAGAATACTGTTGCCCCTCGAAGTTGATCGAACAAGTCATCGATCCTCGGTAAAGGGTACCTGTTCTTGATTGTGACCTTGTTTAGCTGTCGATAGTCTATACACATTCTTAGTGTACCATCTTTCTTCTTTACGAAGAGTACGGGTGCTCCCCACGGTGAATGACCGGGTCTAATGAACCCGTTGTCCAATAGCTCCTGAAGTTGAACCTTCAACTCTTGAAGCTCGGCCGGTGCCATTCGATAAGGAGGAATCGAAATGGGTTTGGTTCCCGGCTCCACTTCAATCACAAATTCGATCTCTCTGTCGGGTGGAAGCCCCGGCAAGTCTTTGGGAAAGACATCCGGATATTTGCACACGACACGTACATCGTTGATGTCAACCTCCTTCTTTGCTTCATCCACCACATAAGCAAGGTATGCATGGCATCCCTTCTTCATCATCTTCCGTGCCCTCATCACGGATATTATACAACTATGAGATCCTCCCCGATCTCCCTCGAAACGTAGGGTGTTTCCCTCGGCACCCTCGAGTTCCAAAACCTTGGCATAACAATCCACCCGAGCATGATGTTTCTCGAGCCAATCCATCCCTAGAATTGCATCGAATTCTAACATACTTAGAGGTACGAAGTCGCAAGTCAAAGGTTGACCCGTCACTTCCACCTCACACGAAGGATAGTAGTGTTTCCTCTCCACATCGTCTCCCAACGGTGTAGAGACCAACAAGGGTTGTGTCATTACTATCAACGGCACGTCTAAACTTTCGGCAAACGCTTCACTCACGAATGAACGTTGTGCCCCGGTATCAATGAGAATTCTTGCGTTTCTACCATTGATCTTTAATGTTCCTACATATATAAGTCATGTAAGACACACCACCCAACGTACCGGATCGAAACGGGGCTTAACAAAACATTTCGGGTGAAAAAACACTGGACCGGCGCCGGTTCTAGGCAAGACCGGCGCCGGTTTGCCGTCGGAGTGGCCGGATACACATAAATTGAACTGGACCGGCGCCGGTTATGGCCAAAACCGGCGCCGGTTCACCTTCGGCAACATCGGAAAATTCAAAACCGGCCCCGGTTGCGAGCACGGTGATTTTCCGACCTCTTTTTCCCCTGGACCGGCGCCGGTTATGGCCAAAACCGGCGCCGGTTTTGCTACGGCGTCTCCCGGAATTTGGTTTTCAATTCGTTTGAGTCACCCCGACCCTTGACCGGCGCCGGTTATGGCCCAAAACCGGCGCCGGTTTACCCACGGCGACCCCGAAACAGCCATTTTTAATTAGAACCGGCGCCGGTTTGAGCCTCGACCGGCGCCGGTTTACCCCTGGGCAGCTTATTTTTGCAACCTTTTGCCAAGAAACCGGCCGGTATCGGCCCCGGCGAGCCCGTACAAACCCGCTATCACTTTTAGCACTCAATACATGTAATTTATCAATCGTTACAAAGGATTACCTGCAACGGAGTCGGGGTTGGCTCGAGCATCGGCCTCGGTCATTGCGTAGACTCTAGCTTGAGTCCTTCCTTGGTTCACGGACGGCGCGTTGCTTGTGCTCGCTCCCCCTTGCCCCATACTAGCATGGGGTGCTCCGCTTCGGTTCCTACTTGCCGTGGTAGCGCCGCTTGATCCCACCCCTCGGTTCCCACCAAGTTGAGGGCAATTTGGTTTAATATGCCCCGTGTCCCCACATTGATAACACCGAGGAGGGTCGCGACACTTTCCCCCATGGTTCCTGTTACAGTTCCTACACCTAATCATCATTGGGGCTTGCGAGCCCGAGTTTTGTCCACCCGTGCCTGAGCCTCCCCTAGGCGGTGGTGCCGGTGCCCTGAATGATCCTCCTCCCCCATGGTTCCCTTTCTTATTAGAACCTTGGGGGCCATGGCTCTCCCATTTCCTCTTCTTTGCCTCCTCGGCGTCCCTCTTCTTCCTTTCCTCCCATTGCTTTTCTCCCTTCAACCCCTGGGCAACCACTTGGCTGAAAGTCATGTTGGGCAATTGAGTCGCCCTATCACGTATCTCCAAGTCCAAGGCCTCCCAAAAGTGATTCACCATTCGGTTCTCATCACAAGCATACTCCGGTATGTGGTCGGCAAGGTCCCTGAACTTATGCTCAAGTTCTTTCACCGTCATGTTACCCCCTTGGGTCAAAAGAGTGTACTCCCTCACTTTGGCGTTTACCTCAAAGTCGGAGTAGTATTGGGCAAAGAATTCTTGCCGAAAATCCTCCCATGTAACCGTCCCGCCATACTTACCCTTGGTTCCATCCCACCACTTGGATGCTAACCCTTCAAGTAACCTCACCGCGATTCTCAATTTGAAATCGGGGGTGAGTTGCATGTCAAGGGCTGCCTCGTTCAGCCTCTTGATCCACTGCGCGGCAACTGAGATGTCTCTCGTCCCATCGAACGGTTTACACCCCAAGTCTCTCGCCTCCTTGATGTATTTGGAGATCCTTATGGTTGGACCTCCATCACCACGGCTCCCATGCGCTTCTACATGGGTCCTCGAATCACAGTAGCTCCTCCCTCTTGGAGCCCCGCCCGAAGGTGGCCCTGCACGGCGCCTTCGGCGTTCTCTCCTTTCCTCACGCTCCCGATGATATTGTTGGAGCAGTGCTTCAATCCTAGCCAAGGAGCCATTTTCCTCCTCGTCACTAACATCGTCGTCATCCCCTTCATAAGGGGTCTCAACCGGCTCAGTTTCCGGCCGGTAGGTCGAGTCCTCGTAAGACCAATAGGTCTCGCTTTCCGTATCGACGTGGCCATCGCTCACGGTTCGTTGTTGTCGGCCTCCGCGGCCTCTTCCTCTTGATCCCCTAGAGGACCCCCGGCTACCGCGCTCGGACTCACCCGGCACACGGCCCGTCGGGTTCCTCCTAGTGATCCTTCCAACTGGTTCCATTTCTGAAAGAAATTAGAATGAGTCATTAGACTCGTATCAATGTCAAATGACGGATAGGCACTTAAAGACATCCTTTGGCTCAAATCACTGTCATACCAATTGTTAAGGGTACCATCTTAACAATTAGAGACTTTGCAACTCAAGTACCAAAAGTTCTTTAAGTACAAAACTTTTATGCTCATGGTTTTTCAAATTTGTTTTCAAAAAGAGATTTTGAAGCTTCATTATGAAGTTTACGGACTAAGGCTCTGATACCAATTAAATTGTCACGCCCCGGTCCTAACCGGACACGTCAACAATCCGCCGTACAGTACGAATAGTCAACCGCAGTCCAACACATCCATACTATACAAGGCGTCTGGAATATCATTCACACATAGTACATCCATAAACAAACATAATGTAAAATATTCATTCAAAACAGCGGAAACATTTAATACAAGTGTTCGTGCCACACTTTGGCAAACATGGGCATACAAGCCCCCAAATGATTATTCAAAATGTAATATCCATGAGCATTAATTTAAATGTTTTTAAAACAGGAACGGAGGAAGCACGAACCACGTCTTCCTTCCTTGAATTCACCCGGAGCAACGGGCACTGGTAGCAAGCTCAGCTCCTACCTGAAACTGTGAGGTGGCCTCCCCCGTGAAGGGGAGGTCAGTACTTGGAAGCATTTGACAAGTACAATGACAACTATACTAAGTATAATCAATGTTTCAATTTCCAAGACCCTCAATTTAGGGTATTATTATCTCATGATTGACTTTGTTCGTTTAGTGTCATTTCATCATTTATTACCACGGTCTAGAGCCCAGCTCAATAATCACCGTTACCTACTACGGTCTAGAGCCCAGCTCAATAATCACCGTCATCTACATCGGTCTAGAGCCCAGCTCAATAATCACCGATAACTACTACGGTCTAGAGCCCAGCTCAATAATCACCGTTATCTACATCGGTCTAGAGCCCAGCTCAATAATCACCGATAACTACTACGGTCTAGAGCCCAGCTCAATAATCACCGTTATCTACATCGGTCTAGAGCCCAGCTCAATAATCACCGATAACTATCACGGTCTAGAGCCCAGCTCAATAATCACCGTTATCTACATCGGTCTAGAGCCCAGCTCAATAATCACCGATTCTTTACAATTAAATTTCTTAGGATCCATTCATCCATTATTCAACTACAATCCCAACTAATATTTCAATACTAGTTGTTTACTCATTTCAATGTAATTCTTCATTCAATATGTAGTTTGACCTTAATATCAAAATATCACTTTTATTCTTTCATGGCTTCTTCTCATGAATTAAAAAGCATACTTATCACAAATGAAATTTATGGTTGATACTACTATCATGCCATCATATTCATAACATATAAACATACACAATTTATTCAATAAATTTGTATGTTATGCAAACTATACTTATAATCAATAGTAATTTCATTTAGACATTAATAACCATTAATAATTCATGCAAATCACATTGTGTATTCATTTAGGAAATCTTATGAAATTAACCCAAAGATTATAAGCAATATAGTCGGTCATCCTCACCTTAAGTGAGCTCACGCGCGTTCTACGCTCCCCGGTTGAACTTTGACTAATTTCCGGTGAACTTTGACCAACTCCGGCGAACTTTGACCATCTCCGGCGAAAACTCCGGCGAAGCTCAAAAATACTTTAATCAAGTTCCTAACAAGGTTTTAACATCATAAAACCTAAATCAATACAAATAACCCCTAAAAGGTTATTTTCCGGTGAACCGGTCGTTTTGGCTTCTATGTCCGTTTTTGGACATAGAACCACCTCCCAACCCATTATTCCACACTCATAACATGTAGAACAATCCTAAGGGTTCTTCATATGACATATAACCCATATGATAATCAAGGAATAGAGGAAAAGTCATTATAAGGTCATTACCTTAATCCACCTAGTTTTTCCTCCCCTAAACCTTTCCTTTGGACCTCCTTGAGCTTGAGCTTGTCCTTGGCTATGGAAGATGCTATTTTTCTGGGATTTTCTCCTTCCCTTGAGGGTGTGGCCGAGTGGTGAAGAGGGAAGGGGGTGAGTATCCTCTTTTGTCTCAATAGAATGAGTGGTGTGGGGGAGAGACCCACCCTTTATTTTGTTTGATTCTTTTCCATTCACATCACACACCTCACTCATGCTCCTCCATCATCCCAGCCGACCAAGGCTTGAGAAAATGAGCCTAAATTCGTGGGTTGGCCCCCACCCATGTGGGAGGTCAACCCTTTTTGTCCCGAGGTGTACAATTTGTCCCGAAAGTTGTATTTTTCGGACAGTTATAAATATATTTTATCTCATCGGGTGAAATAAAATATATTATGTGTTTCCAATCATTATGACCCTTATAATGAATATACATTCCCCAACTTTAATTTATAAGTTCCCGAAATTCATTTCTGGCTTTCATCTGTTAAATTACCAGTACCAGTATTTTGGCCTTTTTGATCAACCGGTCAACTCTATATCATTTCTTTGGACCAAATAAATTATCCACCACTATATAAATATTACATTGATCAAGATGAATAAAATATACGGTCTCGGGAATATCGGGCGGCCCCCGCTCCCGGTGCGGGCCCCGCATGCAATTTACTATTCACGCGAATAAGAATTATAAAAATTCACAACTTCGCATACTCATTAATCATTCCATAAGGTTCAATACCTTATTCACTTAAAAGTAAATACTTTTTGGGGACGGTGTTACATAAGATTTGTGCATAAGAGAGAGAAATAACAGAAACAAAAAAATAATTGACTAAAAGGAAAAGTGGCAAAGTTTTTTGGGACGTCCCAAAAACGAAAGATGACAAAATTTTAAAGGACGGAGGGAGTATTATTTTTGGAAAAAGCCCATAATAAAACTTACAAACTTTCCTTCAACCATGACTTTTATTTACTCAGTGTTTTATGAATTTTCTTGCTATTTCGAAGAAGCTATTTTAGTTATTCTAGATTAAAAGTCATGGACTCATGGCTGCATTAAGGCTATGTTTGGTAGGCATAAGCTTCTGCCTTCTAGCTTTTGAACTATTCAAAAAGTCTCTAAAAGCTTCTGGTTTTTTGTTTGGTATGACAATTTTTAAGAGATTTTCAAAAAATAAAAGATCTTTTTTGAGATGCTACAAGGAGCAACATCTGAGAAAAGCCCGTGACTTTTAGTATTAATTAGTCATAACAGCTTGTATATCAAACCGAACTAAATCAAACAGTCATCTTTTTACAAAACAGCTTTAGAGGTGCCATTGAGAAACCATCCTCTCAGCACAACCCATTGAACCACTGCCTCTCCTATGCTTCAACTCTTCAAGGAATACTCGCCGCATGGAGGCCTCTCTGAAACCCTATCTCTTCCGATCCTTCAGACCTTCACAGTTCCCACGCAGCTCATTTGGACAAGTGGATTTTGGTCAAATTGGACTGATACTCGTATTAGTCATTACATAGGGCTCTACCGGATTGGGGAAGTGGGTTGTTTTTGACCCAAGAGGAAAACCTATAAGTAAATGTAAATATATGATAAGTCCGTATTTAGACACGCATTTGATGTGTGTTGGGATCAGCTTTTGAGGGTTTTCCTAGCTTTAAGGTGTTACAAGTCTCAATTTTAGCTCAAGTTATGTTTACCGGGCATTAGTTCGAGTTTTGTGTTGTTTGGAGTCAAAATCGGGAATTTAGAGTCTGGCACCGGTGCTCGAGAAGGAATCGGGAAGAGTTGGAGAGTGTTTGAGAAAGATTTGAGAGTTTTGGAGGCCACCGGGAGATTTACGACGAATATTCGATGAAGAAAGGGACTTTGGATCGATTGGGGACGAACGGGGAAGAAAATAGCAAGAAGACGGTTCTAGAGTAGTCCACGCGCCCCGCGGGTCGGTTCCGCACGCCCCGCGGGTGATTATGAGAGCAAAAAGTTAAGGGGTCTGAACCGCACACCGCCCGCGCGGCCGAAACCACACACCGCGCGGTCCAGAAATAGCCTCAGGAGTACCCGCGCGGTTGCATAGCGCGGGCGGAGTAAAAGTCGGAGACGGAAAAACGCGCACGTACCCGCACGGTGATTTTCGGCCTGTTTTCGGATTTTTCTATAAATAGGCCCTTGTTTTGCCTGTTTTTGACTTAATAATGATTAGCTAGGCTCAATTAAATTAATTTCATGTAATTAGGCCTGATCTGCCAGAAATCTGGTTACCCCGGAATCGAACCTTGTTCCCTTCGTCATTAATTAGAAAGAACCCCCTAGTTTAATTGTTCGCATTAGTTTTATTTTCCAAACCAACCAATCTCGCACGACGCATTTTTATTTATTTATTTTTAATCGCTGAATTTAATTAATTCTTGATTCCCTTTTGTCCGTCCCTGTGGAGACGATACTCGTACTTACACCACTATATTACGATCTATTTTAAGTGCGAGAAAACTCACATCAGTTTTTGGCGCCGTTGCCGGGGACGGTGTCGGTTTTAAGGGTTAATTAATTTCAGCGAGATTTTTTTAGTTAGTGTTTTTTTTAGTTCTTCGTAGGATTTTTTCTGTGCTAACCTTTCAGGTAATTTCTAAGAGGCATGAGATGAACCTATTCAGCCAAATTCCTGGAGGAATTCCTTACCCTCAAACCTCCATGGAATTTTCACCATATACGTCATACCCTCCTTACACTCCTCCTCCTCCTCCTCAATATTACACACCTCATCAAAATTACTCTCCTACACCACAAAATATTCAGCCTTCTTATCCGTACACTCTAACCACACAACCCTTTCATTCTGATTCTTACTATCCTTCATCACATTACCCTTGGGTAAGCGTAAGACGAGGCTTCATTCTTGAATTTATGCTTCTAAATAAAACGCCTGAGGAAATATCTGAATGTTTTAAGGATAGCATTTGTTCCTTCTGTGGAGGAGATCACCATTTATGTCTTTGCCCCATCAAACCTCTATATGACCATCCTTTCCGGGAAACTGCATACCCCACTGCTTCCTCCCCACAATTTACGAACACAAATGTTTCAGTCACTCCTACGTCTTTGCCGAGCTATGAGCCACAGGATGAAGTGGAAGATATTATTTCAGAGAAGCTGTCTCACCTGGAAGAAACACTTAGGCAAGTCATGCAAGCAACTGAGGCGTGCATGGCAATTCAACAGCAATCAAACACAAGGATGCAGAACATGGAGAATCAATTGGGGCAGATTATAAAGGCTTTATCTGAGGAGTCCGAGAGATCTCATCCTAGAGACACAGAAGCCCAACATGAGGAAACCAATATGGATGATCATGTGAGTGGGTCGGACTGCGAAGGTGGGAATATGACGGATGATACACTTCCTGATGTTTTTGAAGACCCTGATGAGAACGCTGTTAACAAGAGTTGGGATTCCTTCATAGGGAGTGATACAGAGTCCAGAGGAGAGGTTGTGAATTTTCACGATATTTGTGAGGAAGAAGAAGACTTTTCTATGGTGCATTTTGATCACGGTGTTACTCCCAATCCTTGCTTGGAGACATGTTTTGAGCTTCCGGTGATACCTAGAGTAATCAAAGTGTTCACTCATGTTCCTTATCCACCTGAAGAGGATGTGAGTTTCATACTTCACTTCTGCGCTGATGAGGGTTTTGAAGACCATATGCTGCCTAAGTGGATTGAAGAATTTAAAGATCCGCGACACCTAATGTCATTTGTTGAGAGGAAGCTGGAGACATTGATTATTAGTGCACCAATGCAGTCTTTGCTATTTGAGAGCGTATGAGAAAGTTGCGTCGGGCACACGACGTTAAAAATAGCGCTTCTCGGGAGGCAACCCGAGCTTATTTCTGCTTTTGATTTTGCTTTTGTTTTGTTTGTTGTTTGGTTGTTTTGCTTTGTGTTTTTGTTGCAGCTCAGGGTCTTGTTGTATGGATGATGTGCCGAGGATTACATTGACTCAGTTTAGTTCTGCATCGACCAACGCCTTAGGGAAGTTTCTTTGACTCTTTTACTCGCTTGTTGAAATATTGACTTGAGTTAAGTTGAGCATGTGTGACCCTATCCTCTTTACCCCCTAGTACATAATGCATATTTGGTCATCGAGGACGATGCCAAAGTTTAAGTGGGGGGGGGGGGGGTGAATTGGGCATTCGGGCAGTGGTTGTTACATGAGATTTATTAGAGTTAGCATGCGCAGGTGTTAGTTGTATATTCATAGGAAATTCATGCAAAATTTTTGAAAATTTTTCTTTAAACTGTGTCTTTGTGAGCTGGCTAGCGTTTTGACTATGCTTTTAGGACATCTTTGAAGTGTTTAGTCTTAAATTGCTTGCACTGTAATCTAATTGTTGAAAGGATGAAGTCATTAGTCACCCATTTTATCAATTCATAAATCATCCATCCCACCTGAAAAAGTCCTTTAGGAGAAGCCACTTTGAGCCTGACCGTTTATTCTTTACCCAATTAATTGAGCTCCATAGCCAAATGGCCCGTGTTTCCTTACCCGTGAATATTTATGACTTAGTCTTGGTGTTTAGGGAACTAAGGGATTAATTTGCTAAGTTTAGGGAATTTGTGTAGGAGCCCATTTTTGGCACTGTTCCTATGCCCCAAATGGGGTAAGAGCAGTCACTTTTTAGGGATTTGATACTTTCGAGGATTGCATTGTAGGCATGGATTCACTTTGAAATAAATGAACTTTAATTGCTAATTTTCCTTGGTGAGGCCGATATTAGAATGAGGTAATGTCTAGTAAAAATCCGAAAGGTGAAAAATTAATATAGCTAGACCTCTTACTTTGCGAAAAAGAGAATGAGAGCCCCAGTCAAAAAGCGTAAGATGAGACTGGGGTATCTTTCGAAAGAAACGGCGTTCTCGTGCCAACATGACAAGGAAAACTGAACCTAATTAATTGAACTTGGAGGCTATTGCAAAATTTTGCTTTAGTCCTTTGCGTACTTCAAGTATACGTCAAAGCATCAATGTGCCGCGACGGTTTAGCTTAGTTGCACACCATGTCTACTCTTTGCATAGGTTTAAATGATTGTTCCTAATTTGTGGTCTACTAAGTTCTTTGTTCCAAAGAATAGCCCCGAAATTCCTGAATGCATTGAGCCTCTGTTAGAATGTTTCAAACTCTCAAGAAAGGGACTGTTTATTGATTATCAATTCACCATTCACCACCGCCTTCACAAGTCCTTCTGATCGGTAACTAGTTTATTTGTGTACGCTGTCACTACTTTGAGGATGTTGTGAATAATTTTGTCAAATAGTTTAGCTTGAGTACAAAGATGTAGTTTAGGGTAGAATTTTCTTGGTTTAGTCTGCCTGTTCTGTGAATATCCCTGTAACAACGTGTGCATGCTAATGATTTTAATTCCTTATGGTGATTATCGTAAGTCCCGTTGTTCAGTTTGCTTGAGGACAAGCAAAGACTTAAGTGTGGGGGAATCTGATAAGTCCGTATTTAGACATGCATTTGATGTGTGTTGGGATCAGCTTTTGAGGGTTTTCTAGCTTTAAGGTGTTACAAGTCTCAATTTTAGCTCAAGTTATGTTACTGGGCGTTGGTTCGAGTTTTGTGTTGTGTGGAGTCAAAATCGGGAATTTAGAGTCTGGCACCGGCGCTCGAGAAGCAATCGGGAAGAGTTGAAGAGCGTTCGAGAAAGATTTGAGAGTTTTGGAGGCCACCGGAAGATTTACGACGAAGATTTGATGAAGAAAGGGACTTTGGATCGATTGGGGACGAACGAGGAAAAAAATAGCAAGAATACGGTTCTAGAGCAGTCCGCGCGCCCCGCGGGTCGGTTCTGCACGCCCCGCGGGTGATTCTGAGAGCAAAAAGTTAAGGGTTCTGAACCGCACACCGCGCGGACGACCGTGCGGGTTGATTTTCGGCCTGTGTTCGGATTTTTCTATAAATAGGCCCTTGTTTTGCCTGTTTTTGACTGATGAGCTTAGAGAGATAAACCCAATTTTGACTTTTGAGAGCTTTTCAAGCCTTGTTCTTCAAGATTAAGAGATTCTTTGTAAGTTCTATCTTTTTAATTAATGACAATTAATTCTTTTCATCCCAATTCTGTTGATTCTTCAATTATGAATTGTGAGTAGTTTAATTAGGGATTTGAGGTTGATGAAGGGGTTGATCATGGTGTATGGCTAGATTCTTCTTGGTTTAATTGCATGAATGCCGTTTAATTTGTGTATGAATATATTAATTGATATCTCTTGTAACTTAAACTGCAGCTAGAATTACAATTGCATGTAGAATGAATTAAGAGAGATCTAATTTGTTCTAAGACACATTCACACACACTTAATCGTTTGCTAAGAGATTAGTAGCGATTAAGGGGCCGTAAGCCCGCTCGTCTTGGCAATAATTTAGGATCCTGTCGCATGAGTGATCAGCCTGGTCCCCTAAATTTTTGTATTCTACGCCGCGAGAGCGGTAAGAACATAGTAATGATTAGCTAGGCTCAATTAAATTAAATTCATGTAATTATGCCTAATCTGCCAGAAATCTGGTTATCCTGGAATCACCTCTTATTCCATTTGTCGTTAATTAGAAAGAAACCAATCTTTTATTTTAATCGTTCATTCGCATTAGTTTTAATTTTAATTCAACCAACCAATCTTGCACAATTGCATTTTATTTTATTTATTTTCCTTTTAATCGCTGAATTTAGTTAATCTTTAATTCCCTTTTGTCCGTCCCTATGGAGACGATACTCGTACTTTTACCCACTCTTCTACAACCATTTTAAGTGCGAGAAAACACACATCAATATCTATACAGTATTACAGTATTACGATATTTCGGTATACCGAAAATTTTATACGGTACATATCCATACTATTTCGGTGCGGTCACATACCTTACCAAAATTTAATTTAATCGGTATTTGCACAAAATACAAATAGTATGTGTATGTGTGGATACCTATTTAATTTATTTGTTAAGAACATATTCTACCCTCTAAAACCTAATTGATAGCCTTAAAAAACCTAGTTTAAGAAACAGCTTTAAGGTGAGCCAAGATTCCGACAAGAGGCGCATTCACATAAGTAGCTGGCTCCAAGTGCGTCGAGTCAGCTCTATCGTCGGCGAATTTGTCATTTCCGTCGGGGCCTCCGACGACAGCCCCGACATGCAAATTCGGGTTCGGGTCTGGGGACTGGAAATATGGAGTCCCATCTTTGCACCCAATGGGTCCTGGATGATCATCAATCGAAGGTATCGAAGACCCGCGGTGGTGTATTTTCTGAGGATATTTTTCACCATACCCCACCATGTAAGACATCCCCATAGGATTGTCTCCGAGGATATAATCAACCTGGGATTTTGCAAACTCCGTAAGCCTTGCTGGAGTGCCAAACACGCCCTTACCGCAGTCCACTGTTCGTTTGGCTGCTTCCAAGTACCGTCCATATGTTACGAAAAGAAACGACAAAGCTGCTGAACGTTGAATGTTACACACCGCATTTTCTTTGAATATCAGCCCCCCTGCAAAAAAAATTCAAAAATAAGTTAAGGTGCGTTTGACTCTAAGAAGATACGTAGTACGTAGTACTCCGTATATTACATTCAAGAATAATTTCTGTTCTCTTATCCCATTTATGTTCCCTATTCTTGTGCTTGACATGATCGAGGGAACATATTTTCTATTGTAACGTTTTTTTGGAGAAAATTGGACCCCAAACTTGGCCTTATTATATCAAAGGGCTAAATGGAAATTTGATTTTGCACTCCATAATTTGGGTGATATTGAACTTTGCGCCTATTTGTACCCATCAACCCAAAAATTATAAAAGAGTGGGGTGAAAGTCAAGTGATTTTAAAGTGAAACAAAGTGCAAATATTAATGATTTTGAAAATAGTGTGTAAAGTCAAATATCGTCCAAAATATAGGGTGAAAAGTCAATTTCTCACTCAGTTCTATTTTTGTGAAGAAGTGTGGAATAAGTAAGAAATTCTTATTATTGTTTGCTTTGTATTGTAAATAATTTTTTAAATTTGGTTTTTTTTTCAAAAATATTACTCCCTCCGGTTTTTAATAAACTTCACACTTTCCTTTTTGGGACGGTCTAAAATAAACTTCACACTTCCTTATTTCCTTTTTTGGCAAAGAAATCTACATCAAAACAGTGTCAAACAGTGTCAAACAGTGTCTCAACAGTGCCAAACAGTGTCAAACAGTGTACTCTACACTAAAGTCAAATTTCTTTTCTTATTTTGTGTGAAGTCAAAGTGTGAAGATTAAATAAAACCGGAGGGAGTATTAAAATAAAATTCATTTACCCAAATATGACTAATAGTTACTACAAGGTAGTTTCATAGTAACTAAAATTTAAAAATTGAACATGAGTTACTATAATTGAATTATTATTCTAATCACTATAGAAAACAACCTTAATTTTAATCATATGTGTAATTATTTTAGTTTCAAATATTTTATGTTTTACACTTACAAACGTTACATTCGAAAATTTCGTGTCCAGCTGATTTTTCAAGATTACATTTTCCAGCAAATTAGTTTATTTTTTACGACAGCTTATTTTTCAGTAACAAAACAAAAAGTGGGATAAAATGACAAGGAAAAAAACGAAATGTTTCCTTTAATCAAATGAATCCGTATAACCAAATGACTAGAAACTATGAGGAACATACCAGGAGTAAATGTCTCAGTTTTTGAAGGCGATTCGGGAAGAACGTTGCAAATGAGTGCATCGGCATTGGGTATGAATGGGGTGAAATCTTTGCCACCGCCCCCATTTAGAATATACTGCATCCAAAACGGTAAGTATATTGTCCGTTTACTACTTGGTACATAAAATATTGTAAATAAAATACTAACTTTGTCCCTTAAATTAGTGTTAGTAATTATAATTAAGTTACATATTTAAATAAGCTATACCCCTAATTCAAATGACAAGTCACAAAAATATTGTGCATAAAGTTCACTAGTGATTAGTGATTAGTGATTAGTTGGTCGCACGAATCACATCTCGGATATTTGTTCTAGAATAGAGCTGATCTATTCTAGAATTAAGCCGTTGTGATGTTATTAACAAAAAAGCCTCAATGAATAGAGCTGATTTATTGACGAGTAAAATCACAACGCGGCTCAATAGAATAGAGCTGATTACTCGCAACGCGGCTTAATTACTCACGTTGTGATTTTACTCCCTCCGTGCCGCTAAGATTGTCCCGTTTTACCTTTTCGAGAAGTCCCACTAAGATTGTCCCATACCAAATTTGGTAAAGATTGTGTTGCTCTAAACCATTCTTGCTTTATTCTTACTTTATCAATTTAATATCAACCACACAAACTCACTTTTCTTAATTATCGTGCCACCTTCTTCCGTCCCAATCTTAGTGGGACGGAGGTAGTATTTACAAAAAAAGCTTCAATGAAATGTTACTAATAAAAAACCTATGAACAAAAATATGACTTGGTGATATTTTTATTTTTTTATTTTTTTATAGTAATTGTCCTATATAGGACTAATAATAAACTTAAATGCACAAATAGGACCACATCTTTTTTATTCCCTAAATAGGACTCCGGATTACCATTATACCCTGCTATATAATAACTATCCAAAACCCTAAAATTCTATCGATCACTTCTTCCTCTGCGCCTCATCGCCCCCTCTCTCTCTGATATCACCATCGCAGCAAACTCCCCCCGCTCTTCAGCGCCGCCGGCCGGTTATCCATCGTCGTCGCTAGTTTTCCATAGACGCCGCCGATTTACTGCACCGCACCGCCTCTCTGTGTCGGTAGTTCTTCGACGCTCCATCGCCACTCCCCTTTTCCAGGTTTTCCCCTTCCTCTTCCTCTTTTTCTTCCTCTTCCTCTTCCTCTTTTTCTTCCTCTTCATCCTCCTTCTCCGTTTTTGGCAGATTTTTTGTTTTTATTCTGTTGTTTTTTGGCAGATTTTTTTGATTCACTTTGTGGAGTTTTAGCATCCTCTTTTCTGATTTTTGGTCATTAATTTCGTAGTTCAGATTTCTGATTTCAATAAAAAAAATTGTTTCATAAAAAAACCATGTTTTTCTCGATTTTGGATAGAGTTCATATTTTGCCAAATTTTTGGCAGATTCGTGTAAAATGTTATGGCAGAAAACCTATAGTTTGGCATTGATTTGAGAGTGTTGCCAATTATATGATATCATGGCAGAATTTCAACAATTTGAATGTATTTCCAATTTTATGGCAGATTTGCCGATTGTATTTTGGTAGATTTGCCATATTAATATTTAATATTATGGCAGAAAATTCTTATTTTTATTCCACTGTTATGGCAAATCTGATATATAGCTTGATTTTTAAGGTAACAAGATGGCAGATTTTCATCTACAAAATTTCCGATTTCAATAAAAATTCCGATTTTTACAGATTTGGAATATTGGATTTATATTTTTGTCAACTTTTTGGCAGATTTATGTTTTTATGTTGTCAATAATTTTTTTTGCAGCAAGGTGACATTTTCATAACCGCCGGTGATGGGCCAGCAATGGTGCCGGGAGTGACGACGGTGTCGGGAGTGATGGGGGCGCCGGTGCCGGAAGTGATGGCGGCGGCGGCGGCGGCGGCGGCGGCGATGGAAGTGACGGCGATGATGACGGAAGTGGAGGCGCCAGAAGTGATGGCCGCATTTGGAGTGTTGGGAGCGGCTGCGGAACCTAGCGTTCTAAATAGCTTTTTTATTTTTATTTTTTTTATTGTAAATAGATTCATAAAGTTAGTAAGGGTAATTTTGTACCATCGATACATTATTAGTCCTATGAAACATGGAAGTCCTATTTATGCATTTCTTCATTGTTTTAGTCCTATTTAGGGTATTAACTCTTTTTTTTATTCTGTTTACCTCAGAGGGTGTCGGGGGAGAAGGTTCAGGGGGCCTGAGGTAAAGTTAGATCAATCTCACTTCATTGAGAATTGAACCCGAGACCTAGCTCCCATATGGGAGAGTGAGTCGACCAAGGTTCGAAATTGCGTATGGTGTAATCGTGGCGTTTTTATTATTATTGCGTATTGCGTAAGCCTCATTGCGCAATGAGGCGTAGACATGAGGCGTAATATATTTATATATAAAAATATACTACCTCCGTTATTAAATAAATGCAACACTTTGACTTTTACACTATTCACATGTTATACTTTGACTACGTTTTATTTATTAATGTAATAATATTTTTTTATGAAAAAAATATTGTTAAACTTGTCTCATTGTAAATTTTCAGAATCTATTTTATTTTTTATTTTTTTACTAATACAAAATCATATATATTAATGGTCAAAGTTGTGTCTTGACAAGTGTGAAATGTTGAGCGTTGCATTTATTTATTTAAGAACGGAGGAAGTATATAAATATATATATATACACAAATGTTCCTGTCAGGTATACCTGACAGGAACCGCCGTCCGGCCTCCTCCTTTTGGGGGCCTTCCTGGTGGTATTTTTTGCTTAAATTTTTTGTATATGTTCCTCATCAATTCTAGTTCATCCATACCAAATTGCATCAAAACATTCAACCGGGAAGGTCGTCAAATGATTTTTGCAAGTTAACTGGTCCGGAATATGTATTTTCCGGACTAGTTAACTTGCAAAAATCATTTTACGACCTTCCCGATTGAAGTTTTTGATGAAATTTGGTATGGATGAACTAGACTTGATGAGGAACATACACAAAAAATTTGAGCAAAAAATACCACCGGGAAGGTCCCCAACAGGAGGAGGCCGGACGGCGGTTCTTGTCAGGTATACCTGACCGGAAGATTACTCTCTCTCTCTCTCTCTCTCTCTCTCTCTCTCTCTCTATATATATATATATATATATATATATATATAGAGAGAGAGAGAAATATTCCTGTCCGGACGTCCGGACAGGAACCGCCGTACGGACCGCGGCGTTTGGCCGCCTTCCCGGTGGAATTTTTTGATGAAATTTTTATGGCATGTTCTCCATCAAGTCTAGTTTATCCACAAAAAAAATCAGCTAAAAACTCAATCGGGAAGGTCGTCAAATGATTTTTTCAAGTTAACTGGTCCGGAATATGTATTTTCCGGACCAGTTAACTTGCAAAAATCATTTGACGACCTTCCCGATTGAGTTTTTGGCTGAATTTTTTTGTGGATAAACTAGACTTGATGGAGAACATCCCATAAAAATTTCATCAAAAAAAGCCACCGGGAAGGCGGCCAAACGCCTTGGTCCGGACGGCGGTTCCGGTCAGGAGCTCCTGACCGGATCATTACTCTATATATATATATATATATATATATATATATATATATATATATATATAGGTTTTGGTTCAAATAAGAACATGATCTTATGAGAAAAATGAGAACGAATCTGGACCGTTAGATTTGTTTTATGTGAAATTCAATGTTAGGGGTGGGAAAAACCGACCCAAAACCCGATAACCGAACCGACCCAACCCGATATATGATATTGGTCCGGGTTTTATTTTAAAAATGACCGGTCCGGGTTAAAATACCCGACCCGAACCCGAAAACTCGGGTCCTAATTCGGGTTCTAAAATTTTAAGCCCGACCCGGACCGAAAAAACCCGATTTAATTAAGAAACTAAAATATATACTCCCTCCGTCCCTTAAAACTTTGCCAACTTTCCTTTTTTGGTTGTCCCAATAACTTTGCCACTTTCTATTTTAAGTAAAGAATTTGTGGTTCCAGTTAATTCTCTCTCCTCTGCACAAACCTCAACCACACAATTTTTACTTTATTAATCTCCATGCCAGTCAAACTTGGCAAAGTTTCAAGGGACGGAGGTAGTATATTTTATATAAAATATGTATGACCTATTAATACATCATACCTATATATATATGATACGTACAGACTATTTTATACTACATCCGTCCCATATTGATTTGCAAGAATGACTTTCTTAGTCAGACAATTTTATTTTATTCACTTAATTTGGATGTCAATTTTTAATTATATTTAACTTGGAGTTTGCAACTTTGAATGTATTTTAATGTAATTTGTTAATATGTAAATTTTATTTATTAAAAATTGAATGATGTATCAATATGGAGTATTTAACTTTAACATTGGTTGACCAAAAAATTTTGAGCTTGTAAATCAATTTGGGACGGAGGGGATATTACTTTGCTTTCGAACCAATTGTTCTTCTACAACATTTTCTATCATGTGACTTTTATATTCAAAATATACTGCTTTGATTTTAATATACTACATATATTTTTTTGATTAAAAGTTTAGATGTTTGCAATTTTTTGTTGTAATTGTATTTTAATTGTGTTTAGATATATCAGTTCAATTTTTTTCGAATTCAACCCGACCCGAACCCAACCCGAACCCGAGGCTCTTAAAACCCGGACCAACCCGAAAGTATTGGTCCTCTGATCGGGCCCAAAAATGTAGAACCCGAAGCTTTTCGGGTTTTTTACGGTCCTAGCAAAAACCCGACCCAACCCGACCCGATCCCACCCCTATTCAATGTGCATTAGATGAAGCTGTAATGTGTATTAGGTGAAATTGAAGTGTGCAACACAAAAGGTACAATGTAGTGACATTATGTGAAGTTAAATTGTGCATTAGGTGAACTTGAAATGTGCACTAGATGAAACTAAAATGTGCATAAAAAAAGGTACGATGTGATGTTATTTTTGTACCTTTTATTCTGCACATTTCAGTTTCACCTTATGCACATGTGAGTTTAAATGTTTATTTTGCACATTTCAATATCATCTAATGCACATTTCGGTTTCACCAAATGCACAATTCAGTTCCACATAATTCAATCCAACGATCCAGATTCGTTCTCATTTTTCTCCTAAGATCCGTTCTTACCGGAACCGCTCCCTATATATATATATATATATATATATATAATTTTACATATACATATTAATAAAAAAGTAAATGATGCACCAAAAATAATGAAGTATAAACTGCCAGTTGCCAACCCAATTCATGTATTTAATGGACACCACCACATCGTCATCTAAATTCAATTTGCGTTCTTATCTCACACCCACTATCTGACAATCCCACTATCCCGGTATGGGCTATCCAAAGTTTACAATCTCAAATCCACTTATCCATGCCACCACCGTCCTGCAACCTCGTTCTACTCAATAAACTATATAAGTTTTGTAATATGAAGTGTTCTGTTATCAAAGAAATAAACACATAAGAGGAGAAGCAGATGAAACTTGATGCGCAGGTCTTCTGCAAACCTGTGATGCGCAGATGATGAAGCAGCAACGGAACTTCTCCCATCTTCTGTATGAAGATTGACAAAGGGTGAAGCAGCAACTAGCAACGCAGGTCGGGAATAGCCTACACGCTCGGTGGCCTACTAAAAAAATTAAAGTGGGCCCTACCGCTCCACATATATATCTACTTAAACTCTTAAACTTTCAAGGCGGTCGCCTTAGAACGCCTTATTGCGCATCGCAGAAATCGTACGCCACTACGCCATATAGCGCATATTTCTACCCTTCCGCCTTTCGCCATGCAATTCTGCGCCTTGCTATACAAATTACCTGAGGCGCGCCTCATTGCGCTATTGCATTGCGCAATTTGAAACAATGGAGTCGACGATCCGCTGAGCTTGACCGTCTCCTCAAATATGACTTGGTGACTACATAATACATATATACTTTTATAGTCACTAATACATAAGTTTTGAACACAATTATAATCATATTACTAAAAGTTAATAATTCACATTTTCGCATGCTACTATTATTTTAATCATTGATTAGGAATAAAGGGTGAGGTTAATTAACCTGAGAGGCGAGCACGTTTATGCCGGCCTGTTTGTTATCCCAACTAAACGCAGTTGCACCCATCCATATATTATTTATGTTCTGCTTCACATAATCCCAGTACCATTCCGTATTTGTAGCTTTGTGAAGCCATGCTGCAGCCCAAATTAAATCATCCTACCACCAAATTAAAGTAATTAAGAGCACTTTAATATCATATACAATAGGGTGATTTCAGGCAATTCAGTACAAAAGACATAATGTAATACTGTCGTATAATGGTTGTACATGGTTGATTTGGAGGCTTTGCTTTCAATTTCGAATAAATAGCTTAGGATTGGACAATACTATGTATTTTGTGTGAGAAAGTCAATTAACCAAAAGAAACTACTAGTTTGAAAGAAAAAGACATATTAGAGATTACATTGGTTTCAAAGTAATTCTCCCGATCCAATAAATTTAGTACCAAAATAATTTTCGTTTTAAGATTTTAATAAATGACTTCCCTTTATTTTCCAAAACTACATCAAGTTACTCTTCTCATTCTGCAAGGACTTCATCATCAAGTTCTCGAGCAAAAAAAACATTTATACTCCGACAACTCTGAATCTTTAAGTTAATGCGTCTCTTACAAAAGCACTTCTCAACTTTTGGCTTTAAAAAAACAGTTATTTTCCCAAACACCACAACTTTTATTTTTCTCGGCTTCAGCGTCAAAAGTGCTATTACTTTTTCTATTACACAAAAAACACTTATTTTATCAAACACTACCCACTTTTACTTTTCAAAATCACTTTTTTCTCAAACACTATCAACTTTTATTTAATCACTTCTCCCCATTTCGTTAAAAAAAAACACTTTTTTAAAAGCAGAAGCTGTTGCAAACAGACCCTTAATTTGTATGCGTGCAACTTTTTAACATGTCAAATTACACAAGTTGGAGTGGTTAAGCTTAATTATATATACCTGGTAACCACCGAAGTCGCAATAGAATGGACAAACCCATTTCCCAATGCTATCATTGTATGAACCTCGGAATTTATCAGCAAAATCAAAGACCTGACAAGTGAGAAGAAGCTTAATATAGTCCAAACAATCAGGATCGTGTAATAAGAGGCTATGTTTTAAACATAAATTTCATAATGTAATTAAACACAAGCCCATTTATATATAGAAGGGTACAAAATATTATTGTTTTCCCCTGAATTGTCTATTGGTGTGGTGTCTACTATACAGTGCGTAGGTAGGATTGAAGTTCTTTCATAATTTAAAATTGATGATTTAAAACATTTAGAACACTTTTGGCAATTTTTTTTTCAGTTATCAGTCAATTTTTTTTTCGAAACAAGTTGATTTCGTGCTATGGATTGAGTAGAAATCAAAACATATAACGGTGGAGTTGTTTTTCTTACTAAAACGGTTGAACTTACTATAACTGACCATTTTAGCGATCTACTTGTATATTTTTTTCTTAACTTTATTAATAAAATATATTCTAATGTGTTTTCCCAATTCAACAGATTCACTTAGAATTTCATGAATTTCAGCAGCTTCAAATGATTATATTCAGGCTTTGTCTATATTGAAAAATCTTGGCCACCAAAAACTTGATTGAAACCATATTACTATACCCAACCTATTTTGGCGGCCCAAAATAATGAGCCCAGAACCTCTTAATAGTTAGCCCAAAATAGTGAGCCCAGAACCTCTTAACACAGAATTGCTTCATTGTTAATAGTGTGGATGATTATATTCCATGAGCTAGCTAGGTTCAATTCGTTACCTTGAAAGCCCTTTGCAAAAGCCCATTAGAATAGTTAGGGTCTGAATCTTTGAAAGCCATGGAAGCAGCCGCCAAGGCGGCGGCGATCTCGGCAGAAACCTCGGAGCCGGGAGCCTTGTCGGTGACTGCGAAAGCGGTACGAGGAGTGTCCATATCCTCCGGCCTTTCCCAGCAATTGTGATCAGCTACAGGCTCACCTACTAACCCAAAAACAACATTCTCTTGGTTGGTAGCCTTTAGCAAGAAGTCCGTTGACCAGCGTACGGCTTCAAGTGCATGGGTCAACTCCTCGTTTCCCATGTCTCCTCCGTATTCCACCACACTCCATGCAAGCAATGTGGTGGTAAAGGCCATTGGGAAAGTATACTTTACGTTGTCACCTGCATCGTAGTATCCTCCTGCCAAGTCCACCTACATCCACCAAAGAAACAAAAAGAAATCTGATCATATTGTAGCATGTATCGACATAGAAATGGTCGATATGCACTTTTACAATTATGTTCTTCGTATTTGAAAACAAGCAAAGTTAAAAAAAAAAGTAATTGTAAGAATGTTTGATGACAAAAGTGTCCCAAATTTCATGGTCTTGTTTCTTAATTATTCACTTGGCCAACACAAATCATTCTCGATCTCTTACTTTATAATTTATACTATATAAGATATTTATCAATTTTGATTCTGATTTTTGCGACTGTGTAAATCTTTTAATATAGTTTTTGAATATGTAATTTTTTTTCTAAAAAAATTGTGTGGGCATAGTGATCCGTTTGCTTTATCGTCGGCCAAATCTCGTAAACCGCTATCGGACAATCAAATTGGTACGAAAGGAGTACTTTGTAAGGAGTATATACCAAATAAGCCCCCGAACTTACATAAAAAGTGCAAATCACCCCTTATATAGGAGGCTTTGTCCGACCGTCACCATTTGGGGCGGTTCCTGGTGGAATTTTTTGATGAAATTTTGTGAACATCTTATTCATTAAGTCTAATTTATACATACCAAATTTCAGCTAAAAATTCAATCGAGACGGTAGTCAAATGAATTTTTGAAGATAACCGCGCAGTTAAACAACGCAGTATATTTCAGAAAATCATTTGACTGCCTTCCCGGTGTAATGTTCCAATCAAAAAGTCCATCGGAAACCACCCCAAATGGCGACGGCCGGACAGAGCCTCTTATATAAGGGGTGATTTGCATTTTATGTAAGTTCGAGGGTTTATTTGATAGTTCTCTCAAAAATTAAAAATCTGTTTTAAGCATCTCTCAAACTTTCAACTATTTACTTTGAATGTTAAAGAAGCACCTATTTGAGAATACTTTTTTAAATATAAGAGAGATTTACGTACCTTCCAATCTGAACCATCTTGAAGAGCAGAATCTTTTCTCCAAGACACACGTTGGTTAGCGGGTAGTTTGCCGGACCTCTGACCCTCAAAGAATAGGATGCTTTTGGACAAAGCGTCGCCATAGTTATGATCAGCCGCCATAACAATGGTTAGCATGCCAAGCAAAGATAATAGTCCGATAAACGGACGACTAATTGTTTTACCATCCCTCCCCATCTCTAATTAATTAAAACAAAATCTAAAACGTTAATGTTATGCTATTGTGTTAATTTGCGTACATACACATTTTTAACACCTATATATATACTTCTCTGGATATTAATTCTTTTCCAATAGCATACTTTGCAAAATAATTAAGTATCCCATGCCTTAATTGGCATAGTCATAAATATATATAGGAGGGAGGGTTGATTTCTTAGGGTGCATATATTATACTCCATCTATTCGATTTCAGTGTTGGCTAATTATTTAATACGTAGTAACATATATACATCAATATTTAAAATCTATATATTTGGAAACAGTGCTAAGATTTCGTTCTAATGGCACAAATAGATTCATAATTAAGTTTTTTTTTTGCAAGAAGATTCATAATTAAGATTTATCATGTTGTACATTCATTTAAAGAGATTCATATTGAATATGTACGTAAATAGGGCATGGCAATCTTTAAATTTGGATGCATTAGAGCATCTAATTAAGAATATTTATTATATAGTTCGGATATTTTTGTCGGTGTCCGCTAATAGCTGTTATATTTACATGTGTTTTGCGTATGTGGGTGTGGTTCCGGTGAGAACACCTCTTAACGTGAGAAATGAGAACGCTTCAAAATGATACACTTTATCATTCAGGAAAATGAACATTTATAGTTAAAGTAATGCAAAATTCTAATGTGCACTTTTACGTGTAAACATTTGCACACTTGAAATGCACATTTTCCAATGTTTTATATGTACATTTCTGTTTTACTTGATGCACGAAAGGATCAACACTATATCAACAGATAAATCCAAATATTGCTGGTTAGATTTTAGGATGTGTACCTCTCATTATTTCATTCGTATATTTTGATTGGATTATTCAAATCAAATGATTCAAGTTTGGTGAATAGAAGACATCCTTATGTACATGTTTGGTAAATAATCATGTCCATACTAGCTAGTAACTTAAAAAAGATATTCTCTAGAACACATGTGTTACGCAATAGACTTATCCGGCGCAAGCTTCAAACTTTTTCTCTAAGGAAAATTTTCCGAGAGCAATCTGATGCTGGTCACAGCTAGGCCAAACTAGCTCCAGTTGAGGTCCGGTTTTGTACAAACACTATGTGTTGAAATATTTTGTAGGGATGTGAAGATTTGGAGGTTGGGAAATGAGAAATTTCATTTAATTCGATATTAGAACGTAAATAGACTAAAATATATCAATCTTTAACCTACTTAAACCCCCAATTTAATCCCTTAATGATCATTTATTCGATTATTTAACTATTCGATTAGTTTATACTTTTTTTTAGTAAATTAAATTTCTTTCTCTTATATATTTCACGTCTTATATAGTGTTCTTGAGGTGTGCCTATTGTGTGAAAGCTCACTTTTGCGATCATTGGGGATTTGATAGTATTTTATTTGTATTTTCACGTTTATTTACTTATTAAATATTGTATTGTGATTAACATGAGTATTAAAGGTCAATTTCTTATCTAAGGCTAGAAATGAATCTCTTTGTCAATTTGGTGTTTGATAAAAGTTCTGAACCAAAAAATTGTGATTTATCCTTTTCATTTTAATTGTTGATGACTATAGTGTACAACATAACCAAGTATGTTAAACTTGGTTCATGCATGCAAATTGCAATTAATATTGAAGTCATTCTCCAACAAATCATTCTTTGTTGGTTCAACTTCTCAACTACTTTACAACTTACAAATGAAAGGTAAAATACAATTACAACTAAATCACACAAATGTTTAAAAACTAAATAATAAAGGTAGACAATCAACACAAATCAAACATAAAAAGATACATTTATGCACTAGTAACTAGTGTGCATCATGTGTCATATCAACGACTTTCTTAGATCTAGCGTTAACTATTTCAAATATGAAACACCGCTCTACTATCTGTAACATAAATTGGTTTTCCTTGATTTAAAACAACCACATGCCTCACCTATCACCTTGCTAAACAGAGAAGTAATCATGTCCAATCATGTTGCATGGTCACGCCGAGATATCCAACTAGTAGACTTGAAACCTAGCTAGTTGGATGCCAACGAATGCATTTGTGATTCTTGATTAGTGCGTAATTATTTGATATCGTTGGGATAATCATTGATGAATTGAATTGGATTAACACGTTTTAAGTTTTATTTATTAGCATTTAACAAGTTTTGCACGTGAGTTAATCTGCGGGTTGAAATTTAAATTATATTCTCTTGGGATTAAGCATTTGCATATACACGATATGTATTTGATAGGGAAAACCGTCAAATAGAACTTTATACTATATCAAAAACAGCAACTAAGTCCTTGTACTATAAAAACACCCAATCACACCCTCGAAGTTGTAAAAAACACTCAAATCAGCTATATAGCCGGTACGTTGTTCACCACTTCACCAGTTTTCCGGTTGTCCACTTACGTGACTGCCACGTGATCTTTATAACAAGAGAATTTGATAAGGTGGATCTTTTGTTGCTAGTTGGGTGCTTCATATGAATTTGTTTTTACGTGGAAACTAGGACCATCGAAAATCAATATTAGATGAAGAAGAAAGTTTTAATTTAGTGGAGGAAATTATAGGGGACGACGAAAAACAAGGGATTGTGAGGAAGGTAGGGAAAATAATAAAGAATCATAAAGAAAAAAGTTTAAAACAATGACGACATATAGGCCATGTGAGCGAGATAACCGGGATACCATTTAGTTACCGGCTAAAATGACAATTTGGTTGATTTTAGTTAGTTTGAGGGTCTAATTGAGTGATACTTAAGTATGAGGACTTAATTGACATTTTTGATATAGTAAGAGGGTCTGTTTGATAGTTTTTCCTTATTTGATGTTTTATATGATAATAATTGAATCATGACTTTATGATTTTCGTATCGCCGCCTCTGTGTTCTTATTAGTTATTGGATGCATTATACGGCATACACATTGGGATTGATTTTCATTTCATACGTATGTGTTCATATAACGCCGCTTCCCATATTTTCTTATTAATAAGTGAATTCTCACTGCTTCCAATATTTTCTATATCGATCTCATTAGCCCGCAGGCAGTTTTACTAAAACTGTTGTTGCTTCTACATGAATTCTTATTAATAAGTGAATTCTCACTACTTCTTTCGTACAAGTTTGTTTTATGTACACTTTTTTTCGTTCTTTCAATTCTAGTATTCTAATTAAGGAGTTTCTGACAGAAGTGGATAGCTAGTGTAGCAAGACTTTGAGTTGAACTTTTCTTCCACATATTTATGTTATATGTATAATAACTTGGAAATGAAGAAAGTCAAGAAACTAAGAATGTATTATTGGTTCCTAAAATTTCTCACTTTTGTTTGTTAATCATAATCATTATTACCACAGTGTCGCAAAGGCTCCCTCCTACGGTGGGATAAGGGGAGATCAGATGTAAGCAGTCTTACCCCGGTATTAAAGCAAAGATAGACTATTTCCGGATGACCCACGGTGAAAATCGCTTCGAAAATTGAATGGACTGATTGCTGTTTCATAACAAATTAAAGAACCGCAGACAGTTTAGTGAGTCATTTTTCTTTATTCCATTATATTTCCAAGCCAAAAAATAATGAGTCTTTGGCTCCATTGCAAATGATGGATGCCTATTGTTTGTTCATGTCACTACTACATTTTAAGGTCTAATGTAACAATAAAGTTCTAACATTTGTAGAAAATGTTACATAAAACTAGTCTTTTGTAACATTTTTCTATGTAGCGTTGCATTTGTGTAACATTTGTTACATTAAGTGATGGAAAAATTCACATTAATAATCCCAACTATCATCAGTCTTCCAATATTAATCCCACATATAAGTAATTCTAGAATAATATCAAGTTTACAGGCCTCCTTCCCTTATTGATCCGGTTTACCTATAACTTACTCAGCCGGTAAACACAAGTAAAAAGAAAAAAGAAAAAATAGTTTGAGCCGCTACGAGATGACGGGCGACCGACGATGGAGACCAAACTAGCTGGGATGAGAGGGACGAGTGTTGACAATAAAAAGATTGGGATGGACGGAGGGCCCTCGTAGAAGAACCAATAGGATTAGACACTTGGACGGCAATCAATTGAAGAACAACTAGGTCGGATGAAAAACCGATGGTGAAGAGCAATTGAGACGGACGCCCGACGACGATCTACGGCTGGTCTGGACAGCAACCATGGAACATGGACAAGCTGTTGTCCGTACTCTGCTAAAAACACTTTATGCTCAAGCCCCAAGAAAAGAAAAGAAAAAGTTGAGAAGATAATTTTTTAAAAAGCAAAGGCTGGGTGAGCTTCTAACAAATTAGAAGTAAATACAGAGCTTCTTAAATTTGATCGAAGCCAAATTCGACAAGGGAAAATTGGAATTGGGTTTACCAATTTAAATATTCCTAAATTAAACGCAAAAAAAAAAATGAAAATCTACCAAATCATGGTCTGTGAGTTGTACACCTTACCAGTGAAGAAAGAAGAAAACGGAAGGGAAATGGTGAAAAGAAAAGAAATGCGCATAGATGAAGAAGGAAGAAAAGAGGAATGCCGAGAGAGGAAGAAGAAGGAACAAAAGGATTAAGAAAAGAAAATGATAGACCAGTAATAATCTGACACGTGTCCGGGTGACCTGCTGAATGGGTTTACACAGGTCACCGGATTGTTTTGAGAATATGCTCCTTATAATTTAGATTATTCTAGAATTATTTATAGGTGGGATTAATATTGGAAGATTGTCGATAGTTGGGATTATTGACGTGAATTTTTCCTTAAGTGATCTCCTGATGTAACACTTTAATATTTTAGATAAACCATTACATTTTTCCAAATGTAACGGTGGAGTGTGGGGTACGGAGTATTAGTATATTAGACTATTATATTAGAGGTTATATCCTAAGATATCTGCACGAGTAGATCAGTTGGTTGAGTGGTGGGAAATTGGATCAAAGAGGTTATAATATCCTTATAATATCCTAAGAGTATATTATATCCTAATGAGAACAAAATTTCCGTCAAAGGAAAAATGGCAGTGCCCGCCAATCCGCAAGAAAAAAAACCCTAATTCTCATCCAACTATTCAGCATGAATTATAAGAGTTTCTTGCAACATAAGGACGGAGTAATAAACTACTCCTTATGCCTCCGCCATCTAGAGATGAAATTTCTAGGCTCTGGTAAGGATCCTTATCCTTAAATGATGAGAAATTTATTAGGATCTTATATGTATATTTTTTTGTAATTAATATGAAATTTTAGACTTCATACATATTTTTTTTTATCTGAAACTTCAGTCCATTCTATTCACTTCCAAACCATTGGTGTATTACTACATGAACACAATCAACCCCTTAGAAATATACTCTTCCACATTGTATACTCTTTTACTCTTCCAAATAGACTTCATAGATTCATCTGTGTAATGTACCATAAATGTGATATTTATTAGTTATATATAAATGTATTAATTATTAATACTATTTCTAATTTACGTGCAAATAAGTGAAGTTATATATACACGCATGTACAATAAATATTAGGGATTAGGTCATGTATAGTACTAATTAAAAGGGTTTAGACAAATATAGGATCTCTTTTAATAATTGTCAAAAAAGAGACACGTCCGAATGATTAAGTAGTAAGTTTGGGATGAAAGTATAATTATGCCCCTGCCTATTTAATTAATACTCCGTACCAGATACGGAGTATGTAACAAACTAATACAGAGTACATGCCTACGTAACATTGAAGCCATTTCTTCGGAAAAAGCTGACGCAAGCCACACAAAAATTGATTTTTATATTCAATCCGATCAATTACATTTATTTGGTGACGATTTATGGTTAATTGATCCGATCAATTACATTTATGCGTCCAAATGATTATAATTAGCCATCTGATGAATTATGGTTACCCATCCGCCCGGTTACAGTTACCCATCTGATCAGTTATAGCGTTATCCGTCCGATCAATTACGCTTATTCGGTCGACCAGTTATAGTTACGTTACGTGTTGCCGATTGCAATAATCCGACTCGTCCAATTAAAGTTATCAGATCTGTCATCCAATTACTGTTACCTGACTCGTCCAGTAACAATCATCCGAGCCGTCCACTTACAGTTACCAACCCGTCTAGTTACAGTTACCCGACTCATCCAGTTACAGTTATCCGACCCGTCCAGTTATAGTTAACCGACCCATCCAGTTACAGTTACACGACCCGTTTTCCAGTTACAGTTACCCGATCCGCCCAGTTACAGTTACACGACCCGTTGTCCAGTTACAGTTACTTGACCCGTTCAGTTGCAATTACCGGGTCATCATTTAGTTACAGTTACTCAAACCGTTCCGTTGTGGTTGCTAATAACATTATTCAAATCAATAGTGACCAGAGTTAGCCACCGCCCCCGGTAACCACCAATGGCCACCCTCCCAACCGGCACTACCACTGCCACCTCCGGCGACAGCCGGCCACCACCATTGTCGCTGACCCACCCTGACACGACTTCCTAGCCCCAACCATTTCCACAACCCCTCCCATCCCCAAGACACCTTCCCAGCCCCAACCCCTCCCCATCCTCAAGCCACCTCCTCAGATCCCCTCCCTAACCCCAGCCCATCGCCTCTCTGTCACTGCCACCCCCAGCCACCTCCCCCACCTCTTCTCTGTCACTGCAACCAGACCATGCCGGAAAACCCACCCTTTTCCCCTCAACTTAATTAATTTCAGTCCCGTTTGAAGCCAGACCAACCACCTCCGCCACTGCCCCTTCCCCAAACCTCGGCCACTGCTCCTTCTCCCACCCTGTGAGAAAAAACCTAGCTGTCACAACCCCCAACAAGCCCTATCTGCCGCCACTTCCCCGCCCTAGCTAGAAATATTACCCATCACAATCCTATTGAGAAACCCTAACCATTTTGGTGAACAGTTTCATCTTCGATCGTCGCCGCCTTCCACCGACCGTCAAACTCGTCCATCGCCGTCTTAAATCAACATCCGCCGTCCTTTGTCCGTCATCCATCGACTGCCCGTCCAATTCGTAGTTGCTGGAGTCAGATGAAATGGGAGACCATCGATGTCGCTATGAGAAAGTGAGAGAACGAAGCTTCACGGATGGGAAATTGGGGAGAGCCGGAGATCTGGAGAAGAATTAAACATAGGGGTATTTTGGTCCTTCCAGATAAATGTGGTCTCTTTTTTGTCCTAATTAAATTTAAGTCTTATTATTGTCTATACACAAGCCTCAACTATTATTTCCGTCATTATTTCTAAATATTACATTGAATAATAAATCTAATATTTGCTATATATTTTTGAGAAAGTGTTACATTTGCCAAAGTAAAAATGGTTACATTTGTGATAGTGGTTATGGTAACACTTTTGGTTATGGTAACACTTTTGGTTTATTTAGAAAAGTGTTACAATTGATTTTAAAAATCGTTACATACCGTTACATTAGAGAAAAGGCAATGCTAGCGAATGTAACAATACAAAACTATTACATTTAGAAGAATGTAACAGACTTTTGGACCAAAAGTAACGAATTCGACTGTTACAAAAGGTCTTTAAATGTAGTAATTTGTTAAGAATTAATTGCCAAAAAATGGGAATAAAAACATAGATATATTTTCTGTTTAAAAATATAAATAACATTCAAATGCTTAAAATACTAAGATTGTCCCAGTTCATATTCACTTGGTTAACAAGTTACTTTTTGAGAAAAACATATTATTCATATTTGTATCATCAAAATGTCTAGAAGTGATACTCCCTCCATCCCGTTAAGATTGTCTCGGTTCTTATTCACTTGGTCAACACAAATCACTCTTAATCTTTTACTTTATACATCAATTTTTTTATCCAATTTGATACTTGTTTTTGCGACTTTGTAAAGCTCTTAATGTAGTTTCTAAATATGTATTTTTTTATAAAAATAATTTGAGTGGGGTCAAGGATATGTTTGATTTATCGTTAGTCAAGCATCTTAAATCGAATTGTCTCATTCTTAGTGAGACAGAGGAAGTATTAATTTACGTCTTCAGAATTCAAATTTGTCATCAAACCTTCTTCTATCCAAAACTGTGACGCAACAAAAAGGATGTAGCCTCAACAAAATACTAATCATAAACATATATGGAGTAAGATTTAAATGGCATCGTACATATCTACGATGCCAATTTATCAAGTGTGATGTGTGTACACAGATTTGACACGAACATGCTAATTAAATTTGTGCCAACATCGTTTTATTGTGAGCTATTTGACACAGAATTACCAATTAATCCGTGTCAATCTCGTTACTTTTTGTAATGCCAGTATAAAGCTCCTAATAACTTTGGGTCATCAAATGATCAAAATCATCAAATAAAGACGCTAGCTAGCTAGTAGTGTGTTGCTAGTGGAGTAGTGGTTTGCTTTAAAATAAGCTAAAAGACCAACTAGTGGTCCATTAATATAAGTTGCACACTCCAATTTCCCAGCATCCATTCTATCTTCTATAAAATTGTCAGTTCCATCATTAGGTCCTCCAACCACTGCTCCTAGCAGCAAGTTTGGGTTAGGGCTTGAACTGTTGAAATATATAGTCCCATCTTTACAACCAATGTGTTCTGGATGCTTTTGAATGGAGGGCATTGATGATGCTCTGTGGTGTATTCTTTGTGGATACTTCTCACCATATCCTACCATATAGGACATGTTCATCGGATTATCTCCCAGAACATAGTCCACCTGCATGTATTAATTCATGTGTATAACATCACTAACAAATCTATTCCCAAAATAAGAAGACTCATCCTTTTCTAAAAGCTTTCAAAAAGAAGAAAACCAATCTTTATTAAAAAGAGCTACGGAATATTAGGATCTGCGTTTTGAATGATAAGATATATAGTTACCTGGGATTTTGCAAAATCTATAAGCTTAGAACCCGGAAAGAGAAGCTCTCCACACTGGACACCAGTACTATTGTATCTCTCCAAGTACCTTCCATATGTAAGTATGAGATACGACAAAGCTATAGGACTTTGCAAGTTCCCCATTAGATCTTTATGGTATAAGATTCCACCTGAAATTATTGCTCACCAAATTTTCTAAAGGGTTAAATTCATTATATTGAATTTTTTTATATCAATCAAGGTTAATTTTGGACAATAATTTAACTATTATATTCTTGTCGAAACTATGTACAAATATTTTTTATGAGATTATTCACTACTACAAAAGAGGGTTTTCACGTCGGTTATTTATACCCTTCCACGTTGGTTTTTAAATTGACGAGGAAAGTTGTGACGTTATAGGTAATATGATAACAAAGAACGTTTTCATACGGAATATAAGTTTCTTGTGTCATATGATTTTGTATTGAAAATTATTATTGACCAATTTAGATATCATAAAGAAAATTCATGAAGTTTTGTGGGATGAGAGAAGTACAACAAACTACAAAAAACTTACCAGATGTGAAATTCTCAACTTTATTAGGCGATTCGGGAAGAACGGCGCACACGAAGGCATCCGCATTGGGAATGAAAGGGATTTTATCTGTGCTGCCATCGCTACTTAAAACATACTGCTTGAAAACAAATTAATTAATCGCAAAACACATTATATTAAAATTTATATAGATCAATATGCAATTATTAAATCAGTGCATAGTTAGTAAAATGCATAGCTACTAGTATGATCATAAGCTAACGTCTATTTGTTGCATGGTAACTAACCTGGGAGATGAGGACATTTATACCAGGGTGCTTGCTATCCCATCCAAACGTACTTCCGTTCGTCGTTATATTATTTATGTTCTGCTTCACATATTCCCAATATTTATCCTTTTTTGTGGCTTTATAGAGCCATGCGGCTCCCCATAATAACTCGTCCTACCAAAATAATATCATGAACTAATTTAAGTTTTCGTAACTAAAATGTGTTAACAATATATCCATGATGTATACACATAAGATCGATGTTGATCTTTGAATTAATGAGACATTATGTATTAATTAATAATGTAAATATACCTGGTACCCACTATAATCACAGTAGAAGGGACAAACATCTTTAATGCTATTATTGTATGAACCTCTGAATTTATCAGCAAATTTGAAAACCTGATTTGACACCATACATGTTATTTTAGTTCATGGATAAAAATAAATAAAAAAGTTGTATCCAAATATATTGTTGAAACAACTTTAAAGGATAATACTATACGGAGTATTTAATAATTCTCCTTGCTCCTTGCTCAAGCAATGCTCCAATGGTAGGCCAATAGCTTCAAATGCAAGCAAGTACCTAGAAGCAACCATTGGAGATGCTCTAACAATGTAGCTATTTTAAGAAAATCCTAAGAAGATGCTCTCTTCGTTTCACAAAACTGGAACTTTTATTGATCAATGATAATAAAATTTGAGAGGAAGTGGTCCAGTCTAGCTGTCCAGTCCAGCTGGTCACCGACTCACTCTCCCTTATGGAAAGTGCCTGGTTCAATTCTCAATGCAGTGAGATTGATCCTAGTTTACTCCGATCCAGACCCTCCAAACTCCCTCCCCCGACGCCCTCTGGGGTAAAACTTTAACATTTATGGAATATATTTTTATGAAAATACTTATAACGAACTAACCAAGCACTACAGCCTAGCTGGTTGCGAGGTTACCGTGCCTAGTGGGAGGTCTCGAGTTCGAATCCCGCTAGGCACACAAGGGTTTGAAACTCAATGGAGTGAGTTTCAGCCCTGATTACTCTAGGCTCCCCCCAGCCCCCCTCCCCTAGACCCCCCTGGAGTAAAAAAAACTTATAATGAAGAACGTTTTCACTTTTGATTTTTTAAATTAATTTGAATCAAATTAAAAGATATCATTACTCAAACTTGACTATCAGTGATTAAGGAAAGTCAATATGCTTAATGATGTACTCAACACATGTCGTGTCTACCCTTATAAGAGTGCAAACGTTGGTCATGGTCAAAGTACATCACTCTGCACATGTAATACATATTAATCTCAAGTCGGAGGACTATTACACTACTTTATACGCCGATAATCAAACACATGAATAGAAGTTATCAAATATAGTCAAGTTTTATGAGAAGAGGAAGTAATAATTTGCCTATTTATATATACTGCCATTAACTTTTAGTAAACCTGCAGTTGTCGATGGCGTACATCCCACTACCATTGGCGCCATTTGGCAAATTTTCAACAACCTTTAAGAAACGTTGTCCATTGACTAGAGGTGGTTGTGTGAGAGAAAATGTTAGTTAACTTAGAAGCTACTTTTTTGCCTCATCTCAATGTTCATGATATGACTTTTTTAAAATCTCATTTGATTTTTTTATATTTGAATCTTCCTAATCTGAATTTTGCTGATTTAGTGAAAATCCTTTTGATCTAATATTAATAATAGTAATAATATAAGTAATAAATGATGTGTGAATTTTTCTAATCTAATCTGAATGTTTCTGATACAATCTAAATTTTCTGATCGGATCTGGTCTGGTCCGAATCTTTCCTATCTCATCTGATCTGATTTGAAGTATTTTGATCTGATTTGATCTGATCCGAATTTTTCTGATGTGATTAGACCAGATAGTTCATAGTAAAACGACGAACATAATAGCTCCTTTATCCTACTTTGACGGTTCATAGTAAAAAGCGATCTCAGCGGTGAAGGTAGAAATGGTAGGTTAGGGGGCGGGACTTAAAGAATTTATGTTGTGGGGGCGATGAGAATACACATGCGAAGGAAACTGTTATTGTTCTTGCTTGTTGAAGTTGTTTCTACTAGTTAGTTGTTACCTGGCGGGCCCTTTTAAGGAGACGATGGGAATAGTGAGGATCGGAATCATTGAGAGACAAAGAAGCAGCTGCCAAGGCGGCAGCAATCTCTGCAGAAACCTCAGAGCCCGGAGACGTTTCATTGACCTGGTAAACGGTACGAGGAGTGTCCATATCTTCGGGCCTTTCCCAACAGTTGTGGTCTGCATTTGGGTCACCAACCATAGCAAACACAACACCATGTTTGTTTGTAGCCTTCAACAAAAAGTCCGTTGCCCAGCGTATTGCCTCAAGTGCATGGGGCAACTCATCCTTACTCATGTCTTCTTCGTATTCCAACACACTCCATGCCAACATTGTGGTGGTAAATGCCATTGGAAAACTATATTTTACATTGTCTCCAGCATCATAGTATCCGCCTTCCAAATCCACCTAGAATTAATTATAGAAAATAAATTAAAATTGGGTAAGGAGAGAACTTAGTTAATAATTATTCTTATTGATATTTTAAGCTTGAGTATTGAGATAGCTTAATTACGAATTAATATTGTTAATAAATTTTTAAGAACCACCGATTCCATCATGTCTGATTTGGGTTCTCGGTCCCCCCATTTGAAAAAAGATACTTTTACACTTGCAACGTATCTATATATGTGCTAATAAATTTTCAAACTAAATACAAATCAGCATCAGGAAAATAGAGTAAGAACACTTAGTTTACTTACAAAAATATCACCACAGTTTCTGTTTCATAAAAGTTCACACTTCGATAATTCACATGATGCATATTATCTAAATTTAGCGCTAAGTATCCATCCACATTTCTCTTTTTAGCGTTGAAGTTAGGAAATAGGAATTTTGCATCATGTGGAATAGAAAGGTGCACTGTTAGGTTGGAGGAAACATTTTTTCATGTAAATTTATACGATAAAATTCGTTTACTAGGAATTTAGAGCATCTCCAATGCTATAATCTCCACGTTGCATATATATGTGGCATGAGTAATAGCCACATAAATATTAGCAAATGAATTATTTCTCTCCTTATTTGAATGATTTTATACAATTTTGGTAAGTTTTTCTCTGCAATGTCAACAACAATGTCAACATCTAGACGGTCTCCTTGACAGTGTGGAGAAAAACTTACCAAAACTGTATAAAATCATTCAAATAAGGAGAGAAAGAATTTATTTACTAATATTTATGTGGCTATTTCTCATGCCACGTGTGCACGTGCACATTTTACCATTGGAGATGCTCTTACATAAATATAAACATTACACATGAGAGGAAAGAGTTATGACCAAATTAAGCTGATAATATTAATTTGTAATGCATGTGAGAGAAAATTCATTATTAACCAATTTGGGTGGAAATTTAGGAGCAAAAAGTTGTACTGTTATTGCTTATACTTTTTTTTATTCAGGGGTTGGAGTAATTAGGGCTAAAACTCACTCCATTGTGTTTCGAATCCTTATGTGCCTAGCGGGTTTCGAACTCGAGACCTCCCACTAGGCACAGTAACCTCACAACTAGCTGGGTTGGAACCCTTATGTACTCTTATTGCTTATATATACTACCCCGTCCTATTTTACATGTCCTACTTTGATTATACACTATTATTAATAAATTGTTTAAAAAGTTAAAATTTGTTCTTGAGATTTGAGTGTAATAAAGTGAAATGTCGTAGATCACGTATTTCTTTCCAAAGAAGGAAGTGTAACAATTATTTTGGGACAATTCAAAAATAAAAGTAGCACAAGCAAAATGGGTAGGAGTATTTTTTTTGGGGGGGTGCTTGGAACTGATTCTGTTTCTGCTTCTTTTTTAAAAGGAGAAGCAGAATTATAATCAGTTTTCAGAAGCTGGTCACCCCCGGCTTCTGAAAAAACTGATTCTATTAGTAAATTAGAGCACTAGAATCACTTTTGCATTTTCACCCAAACACTACAGCTTCTGCTTCTGCTCCCTGAAGGAGCAGAACCAGATCCAAACACCCCCATAGTATAAAGTTTTTTATAGTAACAATTCAAGGAAGGTAGTTTCTATGGTACCCATAAGGTACCATACCTTTGTCCACATGGACCAATGAGATTGTTGCAGTTGAGTTATTTAAATCTAAATGAAAAACAATATATTGATGTGGACCAATCAAGTGACTGGAAGGTAAGGTACCATGTTTTTTAAATGCGTACCGGAGTTGTCACCTTCATGGAAATTGTAACTACAGCTTCCATCGCTTGACTGAGTGAACATTTTCGTAACTTTAACTTTAATAAAAAATACATTACATCTTTCAAAAAAAAAATACATTACATGTACCTTCCCTTCAAAGCCATCATCAAGAGCAGAATCATTTCTCCATAGTACACGTTGGTTAGGGGGCAGCTTACCGGACCTCTGGCCCTCAAAAAACAGGATACTATAAGACAAGGCCTTGCCATAATCGTGTCCCTTCACCTTGGTCGCCGTTAAAATGGTTATAAAGGCAAAAAACGCTACTATTTTGAGCGTTGCATAGTGCTGTGATTTTACCTCTAGCGCCATCTCTGATAATTGTATATAGTTTTATAAACCACAATCTAGTTACCACTCATATGTGTTCTTGATGAATATATATATGTGCATATTAGCATATATATATACATACTCCGTATGTGTTAATATAATATTCTATGAGGCTAATCCGGATTCTCACCTTTTACTATACGTCTATACCAAATTCCACTCATGTATATGCAAATCAAATGTGTTTTAACCTTTCCCGTTTTCCTGCGCAGATTAGGGGGTGCATTTAGTTTGGTTAATTTAGGTAATAAAAACTAAATAACAAAAACATGACTAAAATGAAGGCAATGGATAAAAAGTGTCACTTTTTATATTTTAGTGAGTACAGGGACAGATCTAGATTTTAGAGTCAAAGGAGGCGAATTTTTTATTCGACAGTGCAGCCGTATAGGGGGCAAAACTTTTTCACTCGTATAGCAGGGCGAATTTTTTCCGCTAGTGTACGACACTACGACTACTTTTTATTCAAAAAATTCATTAGTAATGCATACACAAGGACATTTAAATCTATTACATTCAAAGTTTAGACAATAAAAGAATAACTTTGATTTAAAAATTGAAGTGTTCCGAAAAAAAGTGTTGGAACATTAAAGCTTAAGAAATGGCAAATTAAAGAAAAAATATTTAAAAATAAAAAGGATATATAACATATATGTTATCAAATTATTTGAAGATAAAAAGTTTAAAAGTACACATTCACCAATACTTTTTAAATAACTCCTACCTTGTTTAACCACATGAATCTTATTAGAATAAAGAATTGGTTTCTGAATTACAATTTTTGTCTCTCAAGGAGGGTGTTTGTGAGTCACGAGAAGTTTTCCTAATAATACAATAGTATATATGAAATTATTTAGCGGTCGCCGACTCATTCTTCCTTATGGGAGGTCTCGGGTTCGAAACTCAATAGAGTGAGTTTCATCCCAGTTTACTCCAGGCTCCCCCCAGACCCCCTCCCCAAGACGCCCCCTGGAGTAAAAAACAAAAAAAAGTTATAATATATATATATATATATATATATATATATATATATATATATATGAAATTATGTATTTTTAGAATAAAACTCCGTATTATATTGCTAATTCATATAGATGATGCATATTTTATTTGTATCAATGCTAAACTGAGTTAAAGTTTATCATGTATCTAATAAATTGTTTTTAGAAAGTAAGAAATAAATGAAATGTGTAATTAATTTGATGTCATCAAGCATGTATATTTTGGATTCACTTTACATGATCTAAAAATTGTTTAACTTGTGTGTCTCGTATTTAATATCGTTTGATATTTTACAAAATCGAGTACTAATTATCTAATAAAGATAATTAAACATTTCAAAAGTAGAAATTGTTGTATAATAAGTATCATTAGTCTTAACCAAGCATTTCAGCCCAACTGGTTGTGAGGTTACCGTGCCTAGTAGTAGGTCTCGAGTTCGAAACCCGCTAGGCACATAAGGGTTCGAAACTCAATGAAGTGAGTTTCAGCCCTGATTACTCCAGGCTCCCCCCAGCCCCCCTCCCCCAGACCCCCCTGGAGTAAAAAAAATTATCATAAGTCTTAAACAATGAATTGTTCTGTTGTTTATTTATTTAAGTAATGATACATTATTTTAGATATCTCTTCTTTTAAATCTCTTATTAAGTATTATATTATGTAAAGATATATATTAATTTTGAAAACTAAAAGTTAAGGGGGCAGCACACATAAATATCTAAGTAAACTATGAAAATTTTATGAAAATATTACATATATAATATAAATTTTTGAAAGACCAAGAGGGGGGCCGGTCGCACCCTGCCCCCCTAAATCCATCCCTGGGTGAGTATAATAGTAATTTTAGGGTCATGGCAGTTATAATCTACATTGTAATAGCTATGATGACACTTATATATAGACTATAGTAATATACATTGTCACAATAAATCAATCTTTTTTCTTGAAGAGGTCAAGTTCATGCTCCCATTTTTTGTTTAATTATTTGTTAGTAATAAATTTTAATAAATGTGATAAATGACACGGTAATAGTTGTGGCATGTGTCTCCAATGTATGCTTAACTCCCATGTACAAAAAAATAGGGTTATGACCTGAATATTACTAAAAATTGGATAAAAGATTAAAAAGTGACCTTGTTAAAAAAGTTCCAGAAATGTGACTAACATTACAATAATAACTCTAATAGTTTGTAAGAGGAGTGGGCATAACGGTTTGGTTTAACCGAACCGAACCGAACCGTACCAAACCGAAACCGGACCGTATGCAATTTGGTTTGAGTTTGGTACTATTTCTCTCAATTCGTATTAAACCGAACCGAACCGAACCAAACCGAAACCGATAAAAACCGGACAAAACCGAACTAAAGAAACTCAAAAAAAAATTCATATATTATTAAAATTGGTGGTTTGATTTGGTTTGGTTTGGTTTGGGTTTACTTAAATAAATTGTTTGGTAAACATTTACTCAAACCAAATTGTTTGGTACTTTGGTTTGGTTTAAAACGGAAAAACCGTAAACCGAATCGAACACAGAACAACATATATATACACCGACAAAGTTGATGTGTTGAAGTCACCCCCACTCTCTTTCCCCATACGCCTACCATCCCGGAAGGTTGTTAAGCAATCAGTGGTGTACGAAACCTTCCCGAATTTTTGCTTTCATTGCAAAGAATATGGCCACAATCCATTTATTTACAAAAAGCTACCTGAGAAATACAAGAAAGTTTCTAAAGATACAGAAGATTTGGCTAAAGAAACGCATGATGAGGTCGGGACCTCTGTAACTCTCCAAGGGGGAAAAGGTGAGAAAGAGACCCAAGACTTAGTAGTGCTGGAAGGCTCGGATATCGATCAACAACTTGAGGAGGCGATCGAGGATATCTCAGACCGGATAATAGATCCAATCAATGCACATGTGATAGCAGAAGCTAAGGAACATGTTACACTGGAGGTTTCCCCCTAAGACCACCTGATGACCAGAAGCCAATCAAAAACACTTCAGGACGACGAGGACTACTATATCTACCCGACCTACGCAAACTATGACTCACCTCAAAAGCTTGTAATAGGACTCAAACATTATAAGTCGTTGCATCCAGAGGCAAAAACTTACCCTCCTTATTTGCAAAGGGCCATCCAGTTTCACAACAAACACAACCGAATGCTTGCAACAACTGTCGGGGTGCCTACAAATTTTACGGGGTGCCTACAAATTTTACATGTTAAAGTTTCTCTTTATGCTTTTGAATTTCCCTCATGTTGTAATCTGTTTTGTAACTTCATATTTTAATAAAATCGAAAAGTATTCCCCGGCAAAAAAAAGAAATACACACACACTTTGTATTCATCTTCACTCTTCATTTTTTAAGATATAAATAAATAATTTAGACATGAAAATACATATTTAAGCATATACTCGTATCATTTTAACTTTTACACATTTCATACATTTATTATGACAAAGTTAGCTAATATGACATATTTGTATTTATTATGTTTGACGATAACAATAACAAATTGCATTTATATTTTTACATGATTCATTTAAATAAAATTGTGAATATTACAACATTTGTACCACCGACTCTTTTAGGTGTTTTGAATATTTTATGTGATATTATAAATGCTAATCAAGTGTCTTATTTTTTGTAGTGATAAAAAAGATGTTAGAAGTTTCAATTTATAATATTTTTATTATATATTTTTCTATCTTTTATTTTCTTTTACATTTTATTTAAATAATCAATAAATTAAAAAAAGATGAGATGGACTACTACTTCCATTTTCTAATTATGAAATATAGAACTTGATCAATCAAAATAATAAACATAAGAAAACGAATCAAATCAAACTAAATTAAAAATAATATTTTTTTACTTTGGTAAACCGAACTTCGAGCCGAACCGAACCGAAACACAAATGGTTTTAGGTTGGTACAAATTCTCCCAACCCGAATAAATCGAAACCGTAACCGAAGAAAACCGAACCGTAAACCGAATTGCCCACCCCTAGTTTGTAATATGGCCACTGTGACAACTCCGGCCGCCGCCGCAGTGATGCCGGCATAGTGACATCGCCACAGTGCGCCGGCATAGTGACACTGCCGCAGTGACGCTGGTATAGTGACATTGCCGATCACCAACCACCAGCCCCCATGCCCGAACCCAGTTGTCAATCCCCAACCTCCATCCCCGCCAGTCATCGTCACACCACCGTACGAGACCCTCGAAACGGCCACCACAACAACTAAAGCTTCGGAGCCGGCCACCAATAGCGCCACAATCCACCATGGACCGAACCAAGCCAAAATCGGCCACAGACCCACACCGTCACTCGAATTATATTTTTTAAATATAATTTTTCATAATTAAGCAGAATCAATCAATCCAACCACTTAAGCCAAAATTTTATAAATTTCAGCATAATCAATTGATTCAGTCAATTTCAGTATTTTGTAGAGTAATACATACTTTGTTTTCAGAGTAATACATACTTAGTTCTACTTTAAGTTTCATTACAATGAATCTCGAAATCAATATATAGTGGTCAGTGGTGGACACAGTACAAGGGGGAGGGGGGCAAATCGAGGCCGCCGCCTCAAACTACGGAGTATTTTTGTTCAAAAATGATCTTTGTACCAACTCTTATACCCACTTTTGTACCCACCTATGTTTGTGTATTTTTTGTCTGTGAACCTCGGCTCACAGACAATATTTTGCACAAACAAAATATTGTCTGTAAATCGGGTTCACAGACAAAAAAAACCTCCACAAACATGGTGGGTATAAGGTGGGTATAAGAGTGGGTACATCAAGCATTGTTGATTTTTGTTACCAAGTACGGAGTATATTGTATATTTACTGTAAATTTTAGGGATAAGGGTCAGATAGGGCCTCGAACTTGAAAAAAAATGTCAAATAAGGCCATATTTAGGATGCTCTGTCCGGCCGACGCCATTTGGGACGGTTCCCGATAGAATTTTTTGATGAAATTTTTTGAGAATCTTATTCATTAAGTCTAGTTTACTCATATCAAATTTG